AGAGAAACCAGCAATTGCTTGGCAGCGGGGTTGACTCACCTTTGCAGCGGACGCATGATTGCGCGGACGCGGTCGGCGTCGCCATGATAGGATTTGGCTAGTGCAGGATTATAGGAGGCGCATGATTGGAAGGGGTATTTTTGGTAGATGATAGATGTTGAAGGAGGTGGTGAGGGGTGAGGATGAAAGGAAGATGGAAACGAAACGATGCCCGTGTGATGCGCATGCGGGGAAGCAGTCAATTTCCCCGTTTCGGACAAGCGTGTTGCGGGGACGATGCCCGTATTCTCAGGCACCAATCTATCCCATCCGGGAAACTAATGGGAATGGCTTCAATAATTCGAGCCGGGAAGGATTACGCCCAGAACCGGCATCTGCGTCTCCGTCTTTCTCTTTCAAACATCCTTCTTTCTCTGAAAAAAATTTTTTTTCACGTACAAAGTACACCTACGACCAAGGTATAAGTCTAAAGACTGTCATCGGTTGATGTTTTCTGAGATAGAATCTATCTGGATAGAAGGCGACCAAGTCTGTGGCTGTCTGCCCCCTGGTCATTCTCTCTCGTCGAATAATCTGCCTCGGCCTACCAAGATGTCTATATACACGTTTCTTCACCGAGATGACTACAGCTGATAAGGAAGCTATGCGTGTCAACAAGCGATCCTCGTCGCTCAAATTCAGCCAGGCAAGAAGCTTTCCTCCGGTGTCCCATCACTTCTCATTACCGCATGAAGACTTCACCGTGCAGCCCTTTATCTTCTGCCCCATTTCAAACGTTCCAGCTTCGCGACTATCTGCCTCGGGTCCTTGATGTCGTCCTTCACCGGACGCTCTCCAGGTGCCAGAGTCAGAATTTGATCGCGTCGGATTACGTACCTTCCAACGGCAAACGAGTCCTCCTCGAATTTGGGCGCCAAAGTCTTCCAGATATCTATCTCGAACCCAGGTAAATCACTCCACCTGCTGTGCTTGTCCAGATTTATGTCGAGAGTATTGGGAACCCGATGCTCGAATATAGTAACTCGCCGGGTGTGTCCACACCGGAAGGCGAAGACCCGTCCTATTGCTTGATCGAACACTGCACGAGAGGGGGGCGGCGAGAACAGGTAAACCTGCCGACACACTAAGTGTAGATCCAAGTCCAGAGAGGGAACCAGATACGAAAGAACAAGAACCATGCATCCATTGCCGCTTGTAGCGGTGAGATTCTTGATGATACTTTCTCTCCTCCACTTGTGGGAGTCAGGATGGAGGATTGCAAATGGAATGCCTGTTTCATAAAGGGCTGCACCGACGAAAATTTCTTCTCCTGGGTGGTATGTCCAGATCACGGCCTTCTCGCGCAGAAGACACACCTGATATTTGAGCAATTGCAAAAGAGAACAGAGCTTCGGTGACCCGCGCAAAAGAAGATCGAGCCCTTCTGACTTGATTCCTAGAGGAACTTTGTTCCTATCACTCCGTCCAACGTCCGGTTCTGTTGCTGCTGGCACGAGTTTCTGATAAAAGCTTCTTCCCTGTTCTCCTGCCAATGGTATTCCGTCTTTCTCCAGAGCGTCCCGGAATTCCTGAAGCACCTCGCTTCTACCGTCATTGAAAGCATCAATGTCAGAGATCAATCTCGGGGAAGTCAGGCGCCGTTCCAGAGCCATGAGTCCGATCCAGGTTGATCCCATAAGAACTGGACGGAGTTTTTGCATTCCCCATTTGTATCGCTGGGAATGCCCAGGGACCGGGTCAAGAAAATTGTACTGGTACTTCTTCGCACAGGACTGATAAATCTGCAGTCCTGCGTCCTTGAAAGGAGTAATTATGGGTACCCTTAATGCTGCTGGGTGGCACGCACTAATTTTCCGATCTGAGTCTAGCCATACGCAAGACGCTACAGTCCGTCGAACCATCAAGTGCTTTAGTATAGCACGAAGGCGAGTTTCACATTGCCGGGCATTTATTTCCGGTGCCATAACATGCTTCGACACAAACTCCCTACTGCACAAGATTTCCGCATCGTCTGAACCAACTACAGAATGAACAATGCCAGTCATTCGAGTGGGGTCATAAGCATTTGCAATGGAAGAACATGACCGAAGCAGAGTTAGCGCATAGCTTTCGAAATCACGAATGCCACAGAAGAACGGAGTTGCGGTCAGAAGCAGGTTGAACGAGGCTTGTAACCATTGACTGGCAAGCGAAAAATTTGACCCGGGTTCGCGTAGCACGTGCGCTTCGTCGAATATCGCCATTGCGAATCTACCTTGTAATGACCACTCGCAATCAGCCGGCATGTCTGGTGCGTCCTGATTATAGACTCGCCCGTTATTCTCACACCATGCTTTGACAGCCGAAGGACCGTGCCTGGCTGATAGCGTCGTGTGGCTGGTCACGAGAGGTTCTGCGCGATTGCATTCTTCGCCTCTGAAGATTCTGTGCTGCTTCGTCAATTCTTCCTCGACGCAGTCTGTCCATGATTCATTTTCGACCTGCCGTTTGGACCCACAGATGCGGATGCGAAAAATATCAGTGAAGGCGCGTATTTTTTCGATCCATTGTTCAAGAAACCGATATGGAACAACAACGATGAAAGCTTTGCCTTGGTGGCTTTCTGTTCTGGCGATATGCATCATGAGTGCCAGTGCCTCCCAGGATTTACCAAGGCCAACAGCGTCTGCGAGAATCGCTCCTCTGGTCAGACCATTTTGTCGGATCTGGTTAAGTCTATCGACTGCTACCGGCTGCCATTCTATCAAAATGGCCTTGGGGCGCATTTCTGGTATCTGGGGATATTCTTCATTCTCAATATTCAGGTTTCGACAGGCCTCGGAATGATTTTTGCATTGATACGCAGGATCGTTCAGCCAGCTCTGCTGTTCTGCCACTCTCACGAAGTCCTTTCTCTGGGGTTCCTTAGCCACCTTTCATTTGCCGACGTGCCAACCCCACTCTAGATCTGAGACCGCCGTATAACTCGGCTCGTCGAAGTCAGTGACTCGGAAAGTTGTTGGCTGGTTGATCTTCGTCATTTTGCTCGTTTTCCTCTTTTTGCGCCGAATCTCAGCCTCGGTCTTACTACTGGCCGAGATATTTGAGATGATGACCATACCCTGAGCGTTCAATACGGCGTCAGCCTCGCCGACAGTTTGGGGGTTTGTCGTAGCCGTGGCTGTTGTGATCCGCCAGTATTGCCAAAATGGCTCAGAGCGGTTGAAGACATCACTGCGCCTGCTCTCGATTATTCTGGAAATGGCGCTTTGCACCTGGGACTCTGGTGAAGCTGAGGATGTAGTTAGTTGCTCATCACTGAGTTGGGCATGCAGATTGTTTACCTTCACCTGTAGTGCTAGCCATGCAGGACGCGTTCCGGAGAGCTTTAGGTTCCCGTTCAAGAGATACTTATAAGGATGGTGAGCTTAGTGAATCTGAGATATAAGAGGATATAGAGTCATTATTGGAAGGATATAGACAGAAAGGGAGAGCGCAAGAGTAAGTTGGGTGAGTGAGTGAGTGAGTGAGTGAGTGAGTGTAGCTCAAAGGGTGAGGAGGAAGGAAAGAGGAAGCCTTACTGAGGAGTGCCTGACCTCCCACGGCAACAGGTGAATAAATGACACTACTGCACAGTACCTGATCATAACATACTTACCCACAACTGGATCTACCTCCCAGGTGACTGAATCTCTTACCAGCTATCTCCAAATATCACAATCTCCCTCTTCTCCTCCTCGATTACTCAGTCCAATTTCAAACCACAACATCAACCTCTGCTCCCATCAACCAAACAACCCTCAACTACACCTCCGCTTTCAACTCCACCAGGGTACCTCATATCATCACGACCGCTAGCCAAAATGCCTGTCACTTGGAACTCAGAAGCCAACGCGCGAGTAAGTCACCCCCAATCTATCCTTCCTACCTTCACCAGCACGCATGATAACCTCCGGGCCCACATAACAGCTTTTCCTCGGCGTTTTGACCCAGCTCAAAAACCAAAGCATCAAGCTTGATTACACTGCACTAGCAAATTCTGTGGGTCAGGGTGAGTCCGCCAGTTCCTCCGTCGCCAGAGTCTGATGCTGACACAGGAGAAGGCTGCACCGTCAGAGCCGTGCAGCAGCAGATGGACAAGCTGAGAAAGCAGGTCTCCGATGGCAGCAGTAACCCCGCAACCCCCGTCGGCACACCCCGAAGGCAGGCTGCCACGGCTGCCAACAGTGGTCCCTCCAGCCAGGCTCTTCTATCTGCCAAACGCAAGGCGGCCCGTATCGCGAAGCCGAAGACTCCGACCAAGAAGAGCAGGAGCGTCTCTAAGGTTGTGGACAAGGAGGAGAGCAGTGAGGAGGACAGCGAGGAGAATACCAAGTCCATTGTTAAGGGAGAGGATAGCGAGGAGGATGCAGAGACTATCATCAAAGGGGAGCAGAGTGATGCCAGTGACAAGACCTATGCCTGATGGCTTGAAGTAGGGACTGTGCTGCTGTCATTGCCATGCTTCTAGTCCTGCCTGCAAGTGCGATTTATTGATTTTTTGGTACTTAGCTAGTAAGGCCAGTTAGCAAGAGCATCTCAATGCTGGGTGATAATATCGAAATATCACTGGGATAACTGATCAAGTGGCAGCTAGAAACCTTGGACAGGGAGCATCTAGGAGAACTAAATTGCACGCCATACAGAAATAGTGTTCTGGGATACATCCGGCTCTTCAGAGGTATGCTTGTACGTCTTTGGAGGGTAGTCCAACACATTACCGTCACATTTCGGACTTATCGATGCATTGGTGATTCTTATCTCCATCGAGATTCCCCGCCTTGCTGAGCAGTACTCTGATAACACAGTGTTGCAGACCAGAACAGTGAATGACGCACCAGATCTCTGCATCACCTCCGAATCACCGTCTGAGAGAAGGACGTCTCAGCACACCCTTCATCTTCTCTCAGATACAACAACTACCCTCATCAAGCCTCTTCAGAATAATCTACCCATCTACAGCAACCGCTATCCTACCATCATCTCTCACCACCTCCACCTCAGACAAAACCAATGAAGTCAACCCCTTTCTTGTATCTCAACAAGCCGATACTGAACTAATACACCGTCATACCCACTGTTCCAATCTTCATATCCATCTCCTCATCAATAGAGCCCTTGATTCTATCTCCACATCAATCCAACTCTCAAATTCAACCCCTCATCGATCCAACCTCCACCTACCCTCCGAAATCAAGAAATATCATCGAACAAAGCACATCATCCTTCTAGCAAAAATGAAGTGGACTCCCGAAAACATGAACATCGTACGCCCCCCTCTCTTCCGCCTCCCCTTCCACCCTCCCCACACCTCTATCGAAACTAACAACCCCAGCTCTGGGAAACCCTCTTCGAAACCCACAACCTGACCATCGACATCGACAAGATGGCCGCCGTCTGGCGTGAGTCCTTTCCCTTCACTACCCCAATTAACCCCAGGACCATACCTGACAAAAAGTGAGAGCAGCCAACGAGGACGAAAAGCCCACCGCCCGCGCCATCAAGGAGCGTCTCGAGAAGTTCCGCCGCAACCTCAAAAACGGCGGCAGCACCATCACCTTCAGCATGGGTGGGAAGCGTGCGAACACCGAGTCGCCCGAGGCGAATCGGGTGAAGAAGCGGCGGGTTTCGGTGAAGAAGGCGGCGGCGACTGCGGAGGATGATGTTGGGGTGAAGGGGGGAGAGGAGAAGGGCTTGGGCATCAAGAACGAGGCTGAGGAGGGTGGTGTGCTTGGTGGTGATGTTGTCTAGCTGGCATGCTATGGAGGTATTTCGCTGGCTGAGGGTTGGGGATTGGGGTTGATGCTGGGATTATGGGGATGCAGGTGGATGGCTGGAATGTTTTGCGGTGGTGCCGTGCTTGGTGCCTTGGGATTTACTCCGAGGGCAATATGAAATGGCATTGATGATTTCTGCTGAGATGCATGGACGTAAGGTCTTGTTTTAGCTGGGTTGATGCCTAGTTGTTGTACTGTTTACGGTCCTGGCTATCCGCGCTGATTAACTTCTCGGGAGGATTCCGAAGATAGAGACGTTTTTGCAGGCGGGTGTTAAGGTACAGGAGAACTATGGAACCACGAACTCGACCCGCGGGTCTAGCTGGAAAATGGTCTTTCAAGCATGAGATGCTTGGTTTCACTTGCAAGTAGAAGAAACTCTGGTAGGAAGGTTTACCAATGCGCATAGATAAGATCGATATCGAAGGTAAAAAGGTGAAAGGCAAAAAAGGGATTGCATCATCCGTGAATCGAACACGGGCCTCATCGATGGCAACGATGAATTCTACCACTAGACCAATGATGCTGGTTGTTATAATCTTGGCACACATTTTATAATATCAAGGCAAAACAAACAGAACCACGGCAAAACAGCAACAAAGAACTACCTGGGACCCGATCAGCCCTCGTTCCATCATCCATGGTTCATTCATCACTGCTATGTAACAAAATTACTTGTAATACTTCTGAAGCTTCAGCTCGCCTACAGCTACAGCGACAGCTACGGCTACAGCTACGGCTACACTCGCAACCCTCCAGAAAAGTCATCACAAGAAATGCCAAGGAGTGTCATTGCATATATATCTACTCGCTGCGCAAACCGCTCACCACAAGAAAACACGAATTCGGACAGTGCAGCTCCCCCGTCTGGCCAGACAAAAAGCAAACAAAATGACAGTCATGCAAAACAGTCCGAAAGATCATTCATCTGTCTAGGGCAACCCCTCAGCCCCGCTCCCCCCTGTCACCTTCTACAACGAATAACTCAAGCCCAGCAGGTGATGGTGGCGCCGCTCAAGTCAACAGGAATCGCAGCGTTCGGGTTGCCATCGAGATCGGCAAAGGTGCGCTGGGAGTTGAGGTAGGCAATGCTCTTGCCGCCATTGACGATGTTGCAGCTCGACCACTGGGAGAAGTTGGTCAGCTGGGCCGACGAGGACAGGACCTTGCCGCTGGAGCCGACCGCGGTGCCGCCGTAGAGGGTTTGGATGCTGCGGGTGACGCCGTCGCCGGGGATGGGTACGCCCGCGTTGGCTCCGCTCTGGTCGTTGGCGAGGGAAACAGTGACGCTGTTCACCCGGGCTTCAATGTCCACCGGGGCAGGGGCGGCCGAGACGGCGGCGATGAGGATGGAGGCAATGATGGTGGTGAAGGACTTCATCTTGAACGGAGTAGATGAGATTTGTGAAGAAGTAGAAGAGTAGATGAGTGAGATAGAGAGTTCTTTGGTCTGAAGACTGGTTCTGATGGCTTGTGAGGCTGTTGATGCTGATGATGAAGCTGTATCTCGACGAGCAGACACGACCACTTTATACCTTTTCTCGTCCCTATACCTCAACACTAGATCATCAACATCGGTACAGATCTTCAACCAGATCTGTCCAGACCTCACCGTCAATCCTAATCGCATGAGGCTTCCATCTCCCCAGCCACCACTTCGTATCCTAAAAACAGTGTCCCAGACTTCAACATGTTGGTATACGAGCACGCGGATGCTATTGATGGTACAGCACAGGGCACAGCCGATGCCACGATCGAGTCGTCCTTTGGCTCGCACAACAGCAGTTCATGCCCGCGTGCATCCGGCTGGCCATGTTTCGTGGTACAGGACCAATGCACGCGACCCCGGGTGGGTTGCCCATTGCTCTAAATGCGCACGTGACCGTGAGATGCCGGTGGCCTGACATCACAGCCCAGCCCTCGATCCAAGACATCCGACTACTTTGTGGAGATCTGCAGGGTGCTGTGAAAGAGACCCATCAGCCAACCCAAGTAAGGTGTGGCAGGGGATCCGGGGAGATCGGAAAACGAGGTGACAGACATGGGAAGCCTTGCGGATGCGGGGAGACCTTAGCAACAGAATTAGTACCGAAATAGTACTTCTGAGTGGCTCAGTGACTGTCCGTACCGAGTTAGTATTGATGAAGTATTGAAAAGTAGTGAAATGTAGTGAATGAACTGCACCGCCTGCAGGTCTTGAACTTACCCGCACTGAACTCCGGAAGGGAACCCAATCACTGAATGATCCCCGGCCAAGCCCGCATCCTCGTATTGCCTGCCCTCCATGGTTCCAACTCGGCAGATAAAAATAACCCCATCCCTTGAGTGACCCTCGTATGAAACCTGTCTTACACCCTGCCTGCCTGCCTGCCTGCCTGCCTGCCTGCCTGCCTGCCTGACTGCTGGCCTGGACTCGAGGCTGAAAGTGGCGGTGACGTGAGCAAAGAGAAGCGGTCGCTTTGTCCGCCCTAATTCACTGCCCTGGATACCATGTCTCAGAACTCGATGATCTGGCAGCAAAAAGCACCGAAGGTTGCAGAAGTGTGGTCGTATTTTCCACAAGAATGCTGGGAGAGGGAAAATAGGCTCCTATGCATTAGGGTCGATGGGTGCATATTTTACCCACACCCGCTATTTCCGATCTGTGGGGAAACCTTATGAGGTTACCATTACTCAACTTTCACCTCAGCACACTATTACAAACAGGCCATAGCTCACAGAATTGAATGCATCCCAACATGAACAGTAATTCGTAGCAAGCAGGCACGGGTGCATGGAATCACGAGGCCCTGCGGAAAACTATCGAGTAGACTATTGAAGCCGGAACGAGAGATGTGTCTGACTTGTGCTTGGCGGATTGTCTCGCAAGTGCTGGCCCAGGAAAGTGTCGACTACTTCCCACCTAAGGTTGTCGGAGATCGTATAGCCGGCATCCATTATGCAGACTCGAGACTGACCTTGACAAGTCATACTCATACAGGCAAACTAACTCCCTGCTCATACACTCTCCATTTCTGTCGCGCGGACTTCTTTCTCATCTTCCAGGACAGCAAGGTGCGTTGTCTGAGGAATCTCATACGCTGGATAAACCATCAGTGACCAGACCCCGTCCGTGCTAAGACATTTGACTCACATTTGAATTCGCGCGCTGGGACTCCGTTTTCGAACATCACCTGGATCTCCTCCAGGGATCGCCCGGCGGTCTCCGGCAAGAAAAAGTAAATCCACACTGCTGCGCCGAACATCAGGCCACCGTAGATAAAACCTACCCGGGCGCTGAGGTTGGCTCCATCTGCATTGAACAAGTACGGAAAGGTGAATGTGACTACCCAGCTGAAGAACCAATTGGTACCAGTGGAGGTGGCCATGAGTTTGCTGCGGTTGGGCCCGGTCGAGATCTCTGACGTGACCACCCACACGGCTGGCCCCAGGGCTAGATTGAACACAACCATGAAGATGTAGACCATTGCTACGATGACTCGGTCCAAGCCCATGGTCTTGTCCGTGGCCGTTCCCGCCCCACCGACGACGAACAAGACCGCACACACCAAAGAGCAGGAAACAAGCAACATCATCCGTCGACCGAAGCGCTCAACACAGTACTGATTTAGCCAGACCGCGGGCATCGGCGTAAGGTACAGGCCCATCTGGATGAGGAAAGAGTTCGTAATGCCAATTGCCGAAAAGAAGACAATCCCGTAGCTGGTGATAAAATTGATGCCTGAGGCCTGTTGGAATGCTATGACACCCAGAGTTAGCAAGTCGAACCAGTCATCTTGGGAAATGCCTCACCCTGAATGGAACATCCTAGGTAGGTTTTCCGACCATCTACCTTCCACTTGAGCAGGTCTCTCCAAGAACTATCGTTCCGCTGCTCTTCCTCCACCATACTTGAGATATAGACGATCTCGCTTTCGATAAAGTCCGGCCAGTCACCGTACAGTCGTCGAAGGGCTACTCGGGCTTGCTCCGTCCTCCCCTTAGACAGAAGCCAGCGAGGCGACTCGGGGCAAAACAGGATGAGGCCGGGAACTAGAATAATTGGGAAGACAAGCTGAACCGCCATCGGAATCCGATAGGAACCACTGTCCGTTCGATCCTTCGTAGCATAGTCCACGATCACACCGAACAACAGTCCAAGCCCAACATCAAACTGGTATACGGAGACCAATGCTCCACGGAAGCGGGTAGGTGCACAATCGGCAACATACAAGGGGACTAGGCACGAAATGAGTCCCACCGCGTAACCTGTCAATGTTTAGCTCTCAAACGTCATCTGTGACAGCCTGGGTATTTGTATGCTGCTCAATGCTGCCTAGAGTTTAGGAACGTACCCATTAGCAACCTTCCAACGATTAACAAGGCGAGGTTATCAGCAGCGACCTGAAAGATCACACCAGCAGTAACGAAAGCACTAGACACAAAGAGCCCTCCTCGACGCCCGATGCGATCATCTACCAAGTAGGAGGAGACAGCGCCGATAAGCTCCCCGACGTTGATGATGCTAGTGGTAAGTGACTGGATACTGGAGCTGAGAACATAGCCACCAGTCGCGCTGTCGTAATGTCCATAGGCTTTGATGAAGGGGTCCATATCAAGGATACCTATTTGCCACAGAATAGTTAGCCCAGTCGACCATTGGGAACATAATGCTGGATCGGGAGTGTGTATCTCTCCTGAGGCACGACGCTGGCTACTTACCAGAATAGTAGGAAGAGTCGAATCCAAACTGAAAAGCAGCAATTGTGATAAACAGACTGATTGCGATTGCTCGCCATTCTGCCCGAATTCCTAGCATGTCGAGGATGTGTCTCATCTTTGCAGAAGGCGTTAGGCACAGGCAAGGAGGCAAGTATTAGCACATTCCACGGAAACGATCGACAAAGATTCTAGGGGCTCCCGAGCATTTTCGGAGGCTTTATAGTCCACGAAAGCTGAAATCGTCTAGCAGAGCCCAGTCTGTCAAATCCGGGGTTTCCCACGGGGTAGCGAAGACGTCCGAAAACTGGAGGGAGCCAGACCCGGCCGCTTCTAAAAAGCCGATTGCCAAGGACAAAATCGGCCGACTAGAGTTTGGCAGCCATGGGATTTGCGCCAAAAGATTGGCTGCATGGCTCGTAGAAGCCTCCACACGGTGCATTGGGCCCGCGTGGCTCGAGTTCTCGTGATTCGTGCGGGATCCACCTCGGCCCGCTCGCTCAAAACTGAGGTATAAAAGATTAGCCGCGCCGAATCGTGATTGAAAGAGACCGACCGATCTGTCGGCCTGCTCTGCCTGGTTTTGAGAGTATCAGACTTCTGCCTAAGCTTGGTCTCCATTTGCCTTTCTCACAATGACCGCCACGGTCGTCGTTACCCTCCCGACTCATACCAAACCCTCCTATGAGCAACGGGTTCACGGGAAACCATCGTCCATACCGGGAGTCGAAGAGTTCCGAGGCATCCCTTATGGAATTGTACCAGCAAGATGGCAGCATGCTCAACTCCGTGATCGGTTGCCACATGATGTCTTCGACGCGACACACAATGGGTGCGTGGTTCTCCTGTCCAATCCGTGCCAGAGCACGAATAACCAGAATTCTCCCACAGTCCCCGCTGCCCACAACCGCAAGAGCCAAACAATAGTGAATTCTATCAATCGCATCTCGAGTTTCCACAAGATGTGAACGAGTCCGAGTTCGACTGCCTAAACCTGTTCATCACGAGACCGAGCCCGAACGTTCTTGCTGCTGCCGGCCTTGAGTCTGACAGTCCTGGGTTGCCGGTTTATGTATACATCCACGGAGGAGCATATGGTTTCGGCGCCGGGACAGATCCTATGTGGGGTTAGAGTCACGAGCTCCATATATTCAAACATCAAGGTTGACTGGTACCTTAGATCCTGCCCGTCTCGTTAGAAAGTCCATCTTGACGGGCACTCCCATCATCGTCGCGACTGTCAATTACCGACTCAATATGTTTGGATTCGCTGCTTCCACTGAGATCATCGATACTCAACCAGAAGGCAGACAGGGTTGTAACTTTGGACTTGGGGACCAAAGAGTTGCTCTGGAGTGGGTGCAGCGGAATATCGCGGCCTTTGGAGGTGACGCAAACCGAGTCACGGTCGGTGGCCAGTCGGCAGGCGGAAGCTCATCTCATGCCCATGTTCTCGAAGCAGTGTTGGGCAAGCGGAAGCCCTTGTGCCAGCAGGGGATCATTCAGTCCGGGGCTGTCGGCGTGCTTGGTCCTATCGCGATGGAGAAAGCTAATGCTCGATGGGCCACTTTTTGCGAGAAATTGGGCGCGACCAACGAAGGTACAACCTCACGTATGGCGTTTATGCGGAATGTACCAGCAGAAGATATCCTGCATGCAAATGCCGCGTTAGGATGGTTTGTCTTTCCGTTGGTCATGGATGAGTTGACCATTTCAGAAAGACCGAACGGGCGGTGGAATGTTCACTTCGACCGCAGCAAAATGTTGAACACCTCAAATGATACGGTGAGACAGCCCAAGGAGACCATATCTGTTTTGGTCGGAGATACAGATCTCGAGGTCAGTCATCATAATCCGCATTTCGAAAACGCCACATACTGACATAATAAGCCCACAGGGTACACTTCATCAGTCATCAGTCAGCCAACTCGAGAGCTTCGAACAGATATGCGATCGGTCAGCTGTCGCCGGGTTACCTGAAGAATTCTGCAACGACTTTTATACAGCGTACTGCCTGCGTTCAGGCATGAGCAAAGAGAGTCTGCACGAGCAAGTCTATCGCTTCTTATCGGACATACAGTTTGGATATCCTGTTCAACGTTGCAGGGAGGAGCTGATGGGTTGGGAGAATTCAGGCCACAGTGGCCTGGATGAGGAACTGTTCCCAAGACCAACTCGGGTGCAATCATTCCGCATGGCGGTCGGCAATCCGTTTCCAGGATCAAATCACGGCAAAGCCCACCACTGCGTGGATCTCATCTATATCTACGACTGCTTCGAAAAAGCATTGCGTGAAGCGGATAAATTGCTACCGCCCAGCACGGTATCTAATGCGAGCCTGGTCGATCGTGTTCAGACTGATTGGATCAATTTCATCACTGGTTCGCGATCAGCCATCTATGAACCAGGCTTCGCGACCGTGTACCAGCCGGACCGGACCGCAACCACAGTCGACATGGCACTAGACGAGGTCTGGGTGGATAGAAAGTCGCGACTAAGCCTCGTCGATAAATACCCGAAGGAGGCTAGGCAGGTTGCCAACATCTTGAGTGGCGGAGGACATCTTTTCTAGGCGCGAGCAATCTATCTAAGACGGGTGTATGAAAATCGTCTCAAGAAGGGACGGGCTCCCAGAAGTGGCAAGCGTTGGATGTGGACCATTTAGATCAAGGTACACGGTCACAGGCAAGCGTTGCAAACACCATAAATTAAAAATATGGGTTATCTTTATGCCCTCGAAGTTGAAAATTCCGTTGTCAGGGATTTCAGTTCTCGTTCATGGCTCTGTATGCGCCCACAACCCCGTAAAACCCGGAGCCCAGCGATAACGAAGCATTTCGGGATCGAGATGACTCTCTAGCTCTTCAAGTGCTGAGGTGTCGTCATGGCTAGCATCAGCCTTTTCCTGAGAGGATCGTGTCATGTTGTTGCTGAGAGCTTTGCGAAGGAGTTCGGCATATGTTCGCTGGTAATCCATGTTTGTGGCTAGCACAAACTTGTCCAAGACCTGTAGATTAATCGCGCAGTTGCGCAAAATCAAGCTGTCAGATTGTTGGCCTAGTTTCTGGGCCAGGATCAGGAAGATGAAGGACGATTGTAGGAAGTATGTGCCGAAATAGCGATACATAAAGCTTAATCGAGGATCAACCCGGAGGATGTGACGTGCAACCTAAGTGGCTAATGAGTTTTGATGGCTATTATTGAAACCTGGTAATCCGCTGAGGATAGAACATACGTTTGCGCACGCGACAGCGTGTTCGCCAGCGGTAAGGAAGTCGGGAGATGCTTGCCACTCAAGATCATGGTACATGCGAACCACATCCATGCGACCGTGGAGTAGCACAAACATGCAGTGGTACATGTGCAAGCCGTAGTAGGCGACTGCTGGGTTACTACCTCCCGGCAGAAGCTCGCACTCTGGCTCTGACATTCGACAGAAGTCAGGTTCAACTAGCGATTCAAAGGAGTCGAACCACAGCTGCAAGTTACGGATTATGGTTGCGCGGCTTGTATCTAGCAGAGCTTTATTGGTGTTGAACGTTGGATGATCGTCGAGGAAGCGATACTCGAGAATGTCGCCTAGGATTCTGTGAAGGATCAGCGACTGCCGCTGCAACACTGCTTACTAAGATCGTTGCCAAATACCTTGATAGGGGCAGAAACGTCCCAAGCATATCTAGACTGCGGACTTGATATCTCGATGTCATACTATGGGGGAGGCAGTTTTCCGATCGAGGCAACGGTGATAGATTGTCCCAGATCGCATCTGGGCACGGCGTCGGCAACCACGAGCATTCTTGATCAGTGAGACGTGGACGCCCATTGAAAGAGAGAGCGGCATGCCGATCGATAATATAGGTGGCCCACCAGAGCCTGCACCTCGTCAGCATGAATAAGCCGATATGGAGTCGAATGCATACCTTCTTCTTTCTTCCTTGTCATCCTCATCCATACCCTGGTCATCCTTGTGTAGATCTAGCTTCTGGACGATGAAATTCAGGAACACCAGCCAATACTGAAGGCCCGATTCGAGCGACTTCTCACTAGGAGCAATGGTAGTTAGCATAAACGCAGTCAACGCATCGTCAAAAACATGGTTGGTGCCAGGAAGTGTGCGTGGATAAAAGTAGCGGTTCAGCTGCTCGAAAAAGTATCTGCCTTGTGCCATCCTTCGTGCCGAGCCTGTGCGCTTCTTCGCCGACGGCATGAAACAGGAAACACCTGAGACATGTCAGATGGAGGGCCGCTTTGGTTCGAACAAGAAACTCGGGGGTGCATACACAGAATCGACAAAAGCAGAGTCGGCAAAGTTGGTCGCGGGCTTTCCAGGTCCAGTAGTCTGCTTTTTCGAATAAGCCGCGTGTGAAACTCCTGATTTGGAGATTCATAGGAATGTTCCAGCAGCCGCGATGCTTCATAGCGTGTGGGTGGGAGAGTAGTGGATCTTGAGGCGGTAATTAGAAGAGTTGGGTCGAGGTCAAATTAGCGAGACTCACTCCGTCTTCTCCTTCTCGGGACTGAGGATTGAGAGCCCGTTCAAACAGTCCAAGACGGGGTAGTCAGGAGCATGCTGCACCAATGCCGGGGATGGTCGTGAGCGGGTTGATTTCCTGCCACGCTTCTTGGGTAGTCGAGTGTAGGTGCATCGTATGGCGAGACCTGCTGCCGTCTCAGTGAGAGGCCGGCGGCGCGTACCGGGCAGGGGAGTATACGAGTGCAACGAACACATCCCTGCGAGAGGGGAGTACATTTGAGCTTGTGACCATGGCACTGGTCGCAAGCAATGTTTGCTCTGGTCTCCATTGAGATATAAGTGAAACTTTCAGGTGTAAGGTAATGTTCATGGAGGAGGGAGGGTGGTTTTGGAGCGCAAATAGACAGCCGAACGGCAGCCATGTGGAGACAACCGGCAGAAAACAGCCCCACCGCCTTTTATACCTCACCGCCCTCTAGGCCCACCGTTCGCCGCCTATTCGAGATTGGAGATTCTGGGCCGTTTGCTTATCGCTTATCCCTCCGTCCCTTATCATCATTTCTCTCTTGTTCCTGTCTCCATCATAGAGCTTTTCCTCTTCCCCTCCATGATGAAAGAACTCTAGCGCTCTCCTTCATCTCCCCTGATCTCTGATCACGCAGCGCTGGTTGATCAGTCCACTCGTTTTGTAACACAGAAGTTTCGCATGGTCGCACAGCGCGCAACTGGGAAAAAGCACCACCGGCTTTTCTGTGGTTCAGCCTACTCAAGGCAGAGCTTATATCTACCTCGCAGGTTCCCCTGAAGGGAACAGTGTCTCCCTCCTTTTCTAACCAACATCGAAAATTCATCACAATGATTGCCGAGCTTGTCACTCTAATCGTCATGTCGCTGGCCCTGCCACTATGGCAGTGGTATCAGCCTCTTTCCCACGTCTCTTCCTCCATCCCATCCGCCCCATCCACAACCGACTCCATCTCACACCAACAAAAGGCCCAGCTCCACGAAGTCGCGGACTTGATGTCGGAAATCTATCAGACTCTCGTTGAAATGCGATACCTTGATCCAGCTGGCGTCCAACCCGGGCCACACAACCTCACGGCACTCGAACCTCATTTCGAAGAGCTGCAGATCGACCCGACCGTCCAGTACCTCTACAGCATCCTACCATACATCGACACGGAAGCCGCCGGCAACCGCGTGTTCTTGCACGGTGGCGAGTTCACCGATTTTCGCGACGTCGACCAGCTGGAACAAGGCCGCGATCCCTTCTACGGGTCACCCAGTGATCCATTTTTCGAGGACGAAGACGGACCGTACATGCGCCCGTGGGTCACGCCACTCACCCAACTCGGAAACCACGGCAGTGTAATTGTCTACGACGCGCGCCGCCACTTCATCTGGATCATTGACCAAGAGGGCTGGTCAACGACTGACCTGGCATTGCAGGATGTTGAGGAGAAGGAGCCCGTGTCGGCCAATCGAAACAGCTTTGAGCATATTCCGCATCGCCCGGCCGGGGATGTGCTTCGGGATATTGTGCGGTGGCATCATGCACTCGATGAAGTTCCTAGCGGAGGGGATGGTTGGGATGAGTGGTCGGCTTTGGAAGAAGCACAGGTGCGAGGGTTGTACCAGAAGAACGGATGGCCGGATGCTTTCGACGGAGACGCGTTTGAGATTGACCTCGTGAGGTCGATCGCTGACTTTGTAGTGGAAGAATTTTCGACTCAACCACTCGAAGGTGTGCAGTACTACAAGGATTTTATCGATGGTGGCTATCGCCACCTCGCGGAGGCGGAAGAAAAGCTGCGATTAGCTCGAACCCGCGAAGAAGAGTGGGATGCGCGTTGGCGCATGTTGCTTGCGGAGGCGCAATATCGACGCGGAGAGGTGTTCTTGGGAGTGGCTGAGCAGCACGCCGACAAAATGTGTCCGGGGAGCGTTTGTCTCCAGCCGCAGGGTCGTCCGCTGTGGGAGGTGCAGTTCTTGCACGAGGAAGTCGAGCAGAAGAAGACTGAATTGGCTGAGGCGGAACAAGAGTGGACGGGCGGATCTGGAGAACAACATGTGCTGGGCATTGATGCCGCGCAGTGGAATAAGGAACAACACCTGGCGAGACGGAGACTGGCTGTCTATCAGAACGCGCTCGAGGCAGCACGCTCGGACGCAGAGCGGCTGTGCCCTGGTCAGACTTTTCAATCGATGACTGGGTTAGAGAGCTTGCGATGGGCGCACGACTGGGATCGAGATATTCAGGTTGAGCACGATTTCACTGTTCAAGAGCTCGAGAGTGCGAGGAAGTTTCTGGCCCAAGTCCCAGATGCAGTCGAAAGTGTTCGATCTAAGGTTACGGAATACATTCGGAATACTGAAGCCTGGTTTGAGTACTCGGATTCGAAAGCGACCGAGATTCGAGAATAGTTGCTCGCCCTACCGGTTGAGTTGTCAGTGTTCACCACTTGCCATAATTTGCTTCGACAACACGGACTCTCATATGGCGGCCTAGCTTTCGACTGCCATCATGGTATCGTTTCTTACTATTGCAATAATGATTTCATCAAATAATAATTTCTGTTCTGCTTATCGAAGTGGCAGCATGATGCCTACATCTAAGATTAAGAGACGTGACCGGCAGCGCAGAATTCCACTAGCAACCGGGCGGCCCAATGCGATGATGCTCGATCCATAGCTCCGGATACGTAAGACCAAGTCAATACACACATTGCCCCCCTGCTAAGACTCCATCTCAATAGATGATTGAAAATTTGATAGTAAACGCGCTAGCCAGGCTCAGGTCAACAAACAAACCCAAAGAAATACCAAAAAAACTCCTCTCCATTCCTCAACACCCGCTCACAGCTCAGCTTGCTATTTCAAGCATCACCAACAAACACCACCCTCATAACGACACTCCGAGACAGGCTTATCGAGATTACCACTTTCACACAGCCACGCCATGACAGAAAGATACTCCTCCATCAAGCCCGCCGTCCCCTCCCCACCAAACGTCAGCGTGTTCATGATAACCTCCAGCTCGAGGATGTCGTCCGGCATGAGGGTCGGCAGCCAGATCAGGCCGAGATCATAACCCCCACGGAAATCGACCATGCGAATCGGATCGGTCTCCTGTTCGGAGTATTGCTCCAGTCGCCAATTGAACACCTGCGTGAAGGCCGCCTGCTCGATGAAGGAAGCGTCGTTTGTGCCCGCAGCCGCGTCCAGCTCGCGCAGTCGGCTGAGAACCCGGCTGAAGGGTGCATGGGTGTACAGGCTCTGGACATCCTGGTCCTCCGTGAGGCGGGTCAGCAGTGCCCGGACTGTTTCAGCAGGTTGTACCGTGACGCGCTCGACGAAGAAGCCGATCATGGGGCCGTCGATCTCCAGGGGGTTGGGGTGCTGATCATGGACGAGGGAGTCGTCGCTCTCCGCTCCAGGCCAGAAGCGCCCGGACGCTGCGACGTTGAACACCGCTTCGGACACGCCGGTCCGGTGCGCGTTGAGTAACACGCAGGCGGCTTTGCCGATCACGGGGACGGGGATGTTCGACGCGCGGCGCATCTCGGCGAGCCCGGGCAAGTGGATGTATCTTTGGGTCGAGCCGCTGATGAATGGGTCCTGGCCTTGGGCCCGGACCTCGTTCCAGGTCGACAGTCGGGGCCAGGGCACGTCTTGGGCAGCCGAGACACCTTTCAGACGTTTGACGTGGAAGTCCACGGCATCCTCTGCGGCTTGGCCGTAGATGTACCTCTGGTAGTCGGTAATGAATCTGCCGTAATGGCGGAAGTCCATGCGCGGGAGACCATTGGTGGCCAGAAGGTCCTTGAAGTCCTGCAACCAGCGGAAGATCGTCACTGCATCGTAGATGCCATGGTGACAGTGCATGACTACTCCCGCGCGAGAAGACTGTCGGTCTTGGAAGATGATGGCCTTCAGGAACGGGCCGGGCAGCACGACACATCCCTCCCAAGGATTGCCGGCTTTGTATCCAGTCAAAGCGGCAACGTCGTCCACGTCGCTGTCGTGAGCGATGTGTAGCTTCATCCATCGAGCGGTAGGACGCATGATCATCCATACCATTCGATCCTGGTCATATTGTGCCACGGTGCTACGTAGAAGCGGGTGTCGATGCAGCCACAGGTGAAGAATCGCCTCGAGATACTCAGCGCTCAGACCTGGAGCGGCCATCCAGGAGGTGCGGATCTTGAACGCACTGGGGCTCAGTGTATCTTTCAGGAACCAGGTCTGAGTGTCGGTGACGTGCATTGTCTCTTCTACATCGTCCCAACCGAATCCGAGCGGCCGAAGCGTCGACTCCCCGGCTTGCTGAACTCGTGCTGGGTCGAGGAAGGTCTGCTGAGCGCCGGCCGTGGGAGCATGAGCATGAATGACCGGGGCCTTAATGCTGGCTATGCTGCGATCGGCTATGAACTGCGCTTGCTTCCGGATTGTGTCGTGGTCAATGAGATCCTTACGGGTGACTCGCCCGAGGCGCTTGGTGGCAGTATGCAGGTATTGGATCATCATCATGCTGTCGGCAAAGGTTCGGATGGGAGCGTCGAGGTCGAGCTGCTCTATCTTTATTCCGGCAATCGCCGCCCAGATGGCAGCAATTTGGGACACATAATCACCAGAGGCTGAATCCAATGAGGCTTGCTGCTCCAGATATTCAACCACCAGGGTCTTCAGGTTAGGTTTCAAGACCTTGCCGGTCGTGGTGGTGGGATAGCGATCCTGCTTCAAATCCTCCTCCAGCTCGATGATCATGGTGGGAGAGAACGAGCGTCCTAGCTCCTCTTGCACCTTGGCCTGCAGCGAGCTTGAGGACACATCGACGGACTTGTCTCGACGGATGACTGCCATTGGCACCTCGCCAGCCACAGGATCAGGGATACCCACGACATAGGCTTCCTACCAACTAGGTTAGCATGAAGCGTCAGATCAACGGGCAGAATACGTACTCGGACCCCCGCAATCCTGGTCAAGCACTGCTCAATCTTAACAGGCGAGATGTTCTCACCACCGCGGATGATCAGATCCTTGTACCTACCCAGCAGGTACACATTGCCATCCTCATCCATATACCCCTGATCACCGGTCGCAGACCAGTTCACACCATCTTCCCGGTAACACGTCTTGTTGTCCTCCGCACTTGCATCGAGATATCCTCCGAAGATCGGATAACCGCCCTGGTGCAACTCACCGAGCTGGCCTCGACGGATGGGAACCCGGCTATCTGGCGCACAGATTCGGACTCTGGCACCAGCTCGTGGAGGCCCTAGACATACCTCTCCCTGGATTCTCTTGTGAGATGCAGCCTCGTAGAAGTTGAGTAGTGTGGCTACGCCCTCTGTGGTTCCATATCCCGCAATTACCCGATCTGCACCGAGGGACAGACAGAGCTCGACGATGCTGGGCGACAGCGACGCACCCCCCAGGACGATCTGATATAACGTCTCTAATGTGCCGCTGTCTGGCGTGAGCTGAGCGGCGATAGCCTGTACCATGGACGGGACGCAGGCTGTATGAACCTTCGGGCCGAGTCGAATGGCTTCCAAGGAAGCAGCGGGATCAAAGGTCGGACTGGGGTAGACGACTGTTGCCCCGCTAAACCACGTCCCGAGTGTCATCACGATGGCAAAAATGTGAAAGCTGGGCAAGTGCCCGCAGAGATGGTCGCCGGGCTCGATGTTCAGGGTGTTCACCACCATGAGACCCGGTGTGGCCATTGAGAGCGTGGTATGCGGACAGCCTTTGGGGAGGGATGTCGTTCCGCTTGTGAATAGGATGAGAATGGTGTCATTAGTGTTCGTTGGTGGCGGAGGAAGTATTGACTGGTCCGCTGCGTTGGCCAATAGCTTTGGCAATGTTGTCCAGCCTGCAGGGACACTCTGCTCGTCTGTCGCCCGGGTGACACCCTTGAGGATAGGCTGGAATCCTCCCTCTTGGAGCGCCGCATCCAGAGGCTGGGTCATGGCGGACGCCGAGACGAATACTGCGGCAGGTTCCAATTTCTGCAGCAGATGAAGGGCGTCTGCACGTTGCCCGAGCATCCGAGGATCCAATGGGGCGAATTGGCAGCCGAGACGAGCGGCAGCCCAGAACAGCACGGCCCATTCAGCTTCGTTGAGGAGGAAAGCTGCAATGCGACTGCCCTTGCCTATTCCTGCCTGCGCTAAGGAAGCAGCCAGGCGCACACCCCGGGCATGCAGGTCTGAGAACGTCCAGCGCAGAGGCTTCGGGGATTCGGTGGCTGGAGACCCATGCTCCTTGGTCTGCCGTAGGGCTACAACGGCGTCATGGTTGGGGAAACGCTGTGCGGTCTGTTGCAGCAAGCCAAATAGATGCCTGTCGGGCGGATGTTGTGAACCGTCTGCAGCCTCCGCCAAGATATTTCTTGCCATGATGAGGCAAGTGTCAAGGTTTCGATACGAATTATCGAGTATGAAGGGCCGAGAGCAAAGGAAAACCAGAGCGACGATTCAGTCCATTGCACAGGTTTTAAATCCCCCACCGAGCAGAAACTACGGTTGTATCAGGTCGTTCGACAACACCACAATTTCCAATAATCTGCACATCCATACTACCGGGTCTCTACCCCTCCATTTGACCACAATTGGCCCCATACGATAAAAGCCTTTGTTTGGTTGGCATTGGCTCGTATTGCTGCCACGCGTCCCACTACATCCATAGTCGGAACCGGTTGTTTAAGGCCCCGCTGCGGCGATCCGTGCCGATCGGGTCGATCCCACCTGCAGCCACAAGCGTCGAGAAAATCTTTGCATGAAGAGCTTCCTACAACCTATGCACAATAGCACAGCACAGACCAGGTCCCGGGGTGATAGCGCAGGCACTAACGCTTGATAGTCACATAATAGTCTACTGTGAGTAGGCTGAAATTTCAAGTGAAATCTGATTCCCATGGGAGGGGCGCATCACTGAATATCTATCGCGGTTCGTACTCTCTCATCTACGCGGTACGTTTGCCTCCACGTGGGTTGACTGCTGGGCCAAGATCCAGGGGTTAGAGGACCAAGCTTACCAAGGTGGTGGCTGTGATTCAAACATGCGACCATGGTTCTACTCGCTGTGCCGTCGCGCAGATTGCGATCGGAGGCCCCAGAGTTTGACATGACGTGCCGTGATTCCCAGGATGGGACCGATCTAGGAATCATCTTGATTGTGTTTACAAACTCAATTTCTGTATCACTCATTGGATCTGGTATATGCGGGGAGCAAAATTCGATCGTATCCTCAGGGGGCTTCTTCGCGACTCGTTGGAGATGACCATCTTAGCTGAGGTGCTCTCATGTCTTGCGCCAATCGCGTCAGATATGAGGGGCGAGTGGCAAGATCTTGATGTGGCAATTAAGGGGTGAAACCTGTATTCGATAGTTCCTTCAGTGGTGGGACAGCACATGGTGCCCAATGGAGGAGCTTTTCCTGATGCGATTTTCAGGGACGATCGTCATGAGCAAAACCTAAAGAGAAAGAGGGAAGAATATTTTAGTGGTAGCTGCGAAGGTATACATATATAGCAGACTTGTTCTTCAAATGATGGTCTGTGAGATCTCCAGCATTTGAGGATCTTATTTGAGACAGCACCACTCGACAGTCGGCTGGTTAAGATGTATCTCGACACACCGTCGCAAACCCCGCGCAAAGCAAAGATCTTGATGCTTCATGGTGAGTCTATAATCTGGTCGGATTCTGCCAATTCGTGGACGTGAACTGAGAAACAGCAGGCACAGGGCAATCCGCCCACACCTTCCAGAGCAAGATGCGGTATCTCCACGAGCCCATCGCTCGAGCCCTCTCCGCCCCCTCCATGCAGCATGAGAACCTCTATCCCGGGGGCGTGGAGTTTTTCTATCTGGACGGCCCGATCCCCGCCTCCTCGATCGACGCCTGCGACGAAACCTACATGAAGCCCAACCGCCTGCCCGACAGCTGGCTCTGGGGCTACGGCGACCCAGAGACCTCGGAACTCAAGGGACTCGAGCATACCTGGAAGCGGCTGACGAATGTCCTGACGGAACATGGGCCGTTCGTTGGCGTCATCGGCTTCTCCGCCGGGGCCGCGTGGTCTGTCATCTTGACTGCCTTGCTGGAGCAGAACAAGAGATATCCTCAGTTTCAAGTGCGTCCCCTTTACCTCCCATCCTTGGATTGGCTCTAACGGAAATTAGGTCAACCACCCGCCCATGCACTTCTGCATCGCCTTCTCAGCCTTCATGTTCGAGCACCGCACGTACGAGTGGATCTACGCGCGCCGCATCCAGACGCCTGTGCTGCACTTCATCGCTGCGCTCGACACCTGGGTCACCGAGCAGCAGTCGCTGAAGCTGGTCGGGCGGTGCGCCAATGCGCAGGTGGAGTACTTCCAGGGGTCGCACTACATCCCCCGAGGACCGCGGATCAGGGAATTGGTCACTAGGTTCATCCGGAGGACGGACGGTGGGGTGGGGGTGGGGGTGGGCGAGGTGGATGGGAACTGCATTCACGTATAGCCCTCCGGACCGGAAAGGGTTCTCGGAGTTGGTGGCGGGTGCATCGGTGGGTGGGTACTGTACATAATCTTTCCATGACTCGCGGGGAATTGGCTCTTCACTCGGCGTTCTGGTTTTGGCTCGGTGTTTTGCATTACCCTGCTGGCGTTCTCAATCTGGCACCTTCATGCGGTTCAATGTTCAGCGAATCAGATGCACTAACTGTGCCATCCACGCCTCTAGTCGGGTATATGTAGACGGTAGGTAAGATGGCAGGAGATTGTAATCACCGCGCCTATGACGCGCTCTGCGAGTCAGATCTACCTGCAGGATTCCGATCCACTCCAAAGGCTTTCGATAAACAGGAACCACGCGGTTAGCTCTGGAATTAACTTTGTGGAAGCCCACCAGTAGACCCACGGGGGAGACAGCTGAAGGATGCAACAAACCTGCGGTGCAAGCCACGCACCAAGTACAGTACATACTTGAGTTGTACGATTTCCGGCCGATCCACAACACTGAAACACAACCTCCACTGGTGAGAGCTACTTAGCAGATCGTACCAAGCTCTTCTTCGAGCAAAGCCGAACTCTAACCAAGGATGTTGTTCCAAGGTTCGTTGCTGTCAACCGGCTTTTGGCAGAGAGGCTAATTAGGGCAGGGATCGTCACACGCGGCGGGCGGCAACACATCTTGGTTTCTGGCGTCTAGAATCCGGGTTCCTCAGAGAGAGACGATAGATGATAGACATGGGCTTGAAAAACTGATCGAACAGTCGATGCTATTGGTATATCGCGTGAGCCCAGTCATGCGTGCTAGCAGGTTATCCACGGCAGGATAGTCAGGAAAGCAGGGTAGAGTTCTCGCAGCATGGTGGATGCCGCCGATTAGCGGGCCAGGTGATCCACCCCGCTCGCTGTGAGATCGACACTCCATGGCCATCGAGATTGCTATCGTCGGGCAGTCTCGGGAGATGGCCGGGAGTAAATGGATGAGATGGCTGTGGATATGCATGTGTAGATGTTCCTGGTGGGTGGGGTGGGGTGCAAACAGCTGATGGGTGAGGAAGGTCCATGAAACGTGTGGATTATTTATATCTTCTGCTCAGGCACTATATGTATGAACTTTCCCAATGAAAGTCCCGCATGAAAAGGTGCAATTCGAGCTAATCTACGTAAAGAACGCATTCTGAAAGTAAAAGGTCGTCTCGCGGACAGACTTTATTGAAGCGAGGTAGTTCTTGCTGTGACAGAAACACACATGCGATGCAGTCAAGATACACAAGCAGGATGGATATATCACACGCCTACCAGCTAGGAACATAAGGTAGAAATATGTGCCAAGAACAACAACCAGCATCATTGGTCTAGTGGTAGAATTCATCGTTGCCATCGATGAGGCCCGTGTTCGATTCACGGATGATGCACTTACTTTTTGCCTTTTTGCTCCCAATTCCCTCCCATGACGATCAAATCCAAGATAACTACTCCGTACATATAAATGCAAAAGGAAAGCGGCTGGCTGAACCAAAAACCTCACAGTAGCCAACTTCAATCAACAGACATCCACATCCTGCACAATCCATCCAGCACAGCAAGTCGACTCTCTACCCCAACTTAAACAATGCTCGTTCTCCATCTCTACTCCCCTTCCCTCAGGAAAAACCCAAGCAAAATAACTTACCCCCCCTCAGCCCCCCTTACCATCTCCGCAGTCGGCGCCTCCACATCCACCCGCCCAAACTCTTCAGTGTCAGGCAACTCCACCCTCACCTCCCGCAGCACTGCGACCTCCAACCCTCTCCCCTCGCCCTCCCCCTCGCTGTCCTCATCATGTTCCACCGCCACCTCGAAATCCAACACATGCCCCCCGTTCTCCCCGTCCTCGGACAAGAAATGCAGGTGGAATCCGGGTACCCCGATCCCCACTGTGTATGCTGGGGACCAGAAGCCGAACAGGGTTCCTCTCGAGCGGCCATGGTTAGTCACTTTCTGGCGGGATGCGCAGTCGGCGAGGGTTTCCTCTGGGGAACGGCGCCGAGGGATGATGCGGGTGGTCAGCCAGGCGAAGGTCGTGGTGAGGCGGAGGGAAAGGAAGGTGTTTTTGTTGGTGTCGAGGATTGGGGTGAGTAGCTCGGACAGGGTTTTTAGGGTTACCTTTTCCGAGGTGGTGGTGGTTGGGAGCGGGACAGTGTTGGTGGGTTGGAAGGTGGTGAGCATTGCGAAGGGGATAGTGTCGGTGGGGCTTAGCCGGCGCACGGTGGCAGTGGCAGTGGAGGGGAAATGGTAGGCGCGTGAGTTCATCACGGTGATCTCCCCGTCCAGATCGGAGCAGGTGCCGATGCCATACGTGCCCTTGTCGAGGAGGGTGGCAGCGTCGATCCCCTCGGTGCAGATGCCGGAGAGGAGGGCGCTGATGGTGCTGTATTGGTAGAGGGTGTTGGTGTTGGTGTTGGTGTTGGCCATTGTGGTGGATGTGGGCTCGGGAGTGTGAGTTTGAAATGGAGGAGGGTTGTTGACCGATGGCTGTGGGAGTTGAAATCTGATAGATGATATACGCCACCCCTGAGGATGGATATATGACCAGTATGGGCGAGTTGATGCTCGTGGCGTATGACGATTAGGGCTACCGAGTTGGGTGATCTGCAGGTAATGTCCGTTGTACCACCAGGAAATGCCTGCCGCTCCGCATCGGGACTCTCCGTTCCCTGGAACCCCCCCCCACGGATCTCCTACTTCCGCCGTCGCATTCCTATCTACGTATGATGATAGTCAGAGGGGTATCGGCTGAGTGTTTTTGGGGGTTGCTGCAACGGGAGAAATCCCTCGATCCAACCCGCAATAGATCTGATGACGAAAGGATGAAGTGACTTGGCTGTGCCTGACTGTGCCGGACCGGACTTTCAGTAGCTGATGACCATCCCACGGGCGACCTCCTCGTGAACAATGCAATGTCACCCTGCTTCGGTGATATGCACTGCATGCATACTCGTTTACGGTCCTTTACACTTGTCAGTGGATCCGGGATGTGGCGGATTGGCCTGCATAGACATCGCTAGTAGAGCTTACATCGTTCAGATAACCTGTTTTGTTCGTGTCTGTCAAGCTACTGAAGCCAGCATTCTGTCGACCCGGCAACCCTAATTCACCATTACTCTGATGTAAGGCATCTCTGGCCCTTCCAAGATAGGAAGTAGTAAAGGGGCCACGTCGGCCGGTGGCGAGAAACCGACAACCTCAATGCCCGAACCGAGTGAATGCTTCATGCCTTCATTCTGTGCTAACTTACACCTAATTCCCGAGGATATTCGTTCAACGGCGCGATGCCCGAGCATTGAGTTTGCGGGTATAAAGATGACGGTGGCGTCTGTTGTCTCCACGAACTTCTATCCAACCGAACATTACCCAACCTCCATGCCTGGCAACATGACTCGCAACGAAGACACTCGGCTGACTGGCGGCCAGTATATCTGCGAAGAGCTCGCCCGCCGTGGGGTTGAACACGCATGTAAGTACCATCCAGTGTTCCTTGCCCGGTGTATCTTCAATGGCAGGACGCGCGGACTGATAACAACGCAGTTGGCATCACTGGCGGCGCGGCCGTAGACATCTTTGACCCGCTGCACTCCCAGCCGCCCTTCACTTTTATCCTGGCCCACCACGAGCAGGGCGCCGGCCATATAGCCGAGGGGTACGCCCGTGCCTCGGGAAAACCAGGCGTGGTGATGGTGACCTCCGGGCCAGGGACCTCCAACCTGGCCACCCCGCTGCTGGACGCGCTCCTCGACGGGGTGCCCCTGGTTGCCATTTGCGGGCAGGTGCCCACCGTCGTGCAGGGCACGGATGCCTTCCAGGAGATCGACACCCTCGCGCTGGCGAAGACGTGCACGAAGTGGTGCAGGATGCCGCGGAGACCGGAAGATCTACCCGAGTGTATCGCTCGAGCGTTCGAGGAAGCCACCAGCGGAAGGCCGGGGCCGGTCTTGCTGGCGATTCCTAAGGATGTGTCTGGTGCAGAATTCAGTCCGAAAGAGGTGCCGCAGAGCAACAACACTAATGAACGGCGTTCGGCCTTTTGTCCTAACCAGCCAGAGGGAGAAACCCTGGATGAAGTCGCAAACTTGATTAACAAGGCCAGTAAACCGGTCATCATCGCAGGCCACGGGCTCCTTACCTCTTCCCGTGGGCCGGAGCTGCTTAGCCAACTGATAGACCAAATTCACATTCCCGTTGCAACCACCTTTCTGGGTCTGGGGGCTTTCGACGAACTCCACTTCCTGGCGCTAGGTATGCTCGGCACGTATGGCACCGTGCCCGCCGACCTAGCGGTGCAGAACTCCGATCTGATCCTCGCCCTGGGGGCACGACTCGACGAGCGGGCCGTCGGAAACGTGGAGGGTTTCGCGCCTGTTGCGCAGGACGCCGCGACCAAGGGCACCGGCGGGATCGTACATTTCGATATCTCTCACGAGCAGATCGGGAAGGTTGTGGGTGCGACTGTCTCGGTGGTGGGGGATTTAGGGACGACGTTGCCTTCACTCCTGGAGAGGGTTACGCCAGTGGAAGCAGAGGCCAGGGGTAAGTGGTTAGCGAAGATCCGGGACTGGAAGCAGCGTTTTCCGCTGGCGTATCAGCCTCTTACGCCTGGGGAGAAGCAGGAGCTGCTGCCGCAGGAGGTAATTATGCAGTTGGAGGCATGCACCCGCCACCGAAAAGAGGAGATCCTGCTCACGACCGGGGTTGGGCAGCATCAGATGTGGACGGCGCGGTACTTTCGTTCCCGCGTGCCCAAAGCGGTGATCGGCTCGGGGGGTCTCGGCACGATGGGCTTCGGACTGCCCGCTGCCGTTGGGGTGAAGCTGGCGCGGCCGGAGTGTACGGTGGTCGACGTGGATGGAGACGCGTCCTTGTCTATGACCCCGCAGGGGATCCTGACGGCCGTGCAGCATGGGGTCGATGTGAAGGTGCTGCTGCTCCGGAATGAGGAGCAGGGGATGGTGCAGGAGTTGCAACGGGGGATGTTTGAGGGCCGGATCACGCAGGTCGACCAACTCAATCCGGATTTCGTACGGTTGGCGGAGAGTATGGGGGCGAGGGCGAAGCGTTGTAAGTGTCGTGAGGAGTTGAGGAATGGGATTGACTGGTTGCTGGGGGAGAAGGGCGTGGCGTTGCTGGAGGTGGTGGTGCAGGGGAGGTTGCCTATGGTGCCCAAGGTGGCGGGGGGGAAGGCGTTGGATGGGATTTTGGACGGGTTGGAGGAGAAGGAGAAGTAGACGGAGAAGAAGAAGAAGAAGAGGAAGAAGAAGAAGAAGAAGAGGAGGAAGAAGAAGAAGTAGAAGAAGAAGAAGAAGAAGGGGGATAGAGATTCATTGTCTAGTGGTTTGATTGTTCTTAGGGCTATTCTCCGCTTTGATATATTTGGGTCTACCTCCCTGGCTAGCTTAGCTACTGTGTACGAAGTATCACAGAGAGGGGCCCACATTCTCCACATAAGCACACTATACATGCATAAAAAAGGAGTAAGCAGTAATGCAGCCCTGCATAAACTCTCATTCATCTCAAACAAGACATTCTAACACTATACCTAGTACGTACAAACGCCAAACAAAAGCGGAGCCAATCTCCACCCCGCGCCCGTCACTTTGCCCCCTGAAACCAAGCTGAATTGGCTGTCGTGTATGTACTCCGTATGTTGTAGCGAATCGAACCGATGCTGCTTGTCAATCAACGTTTGTTCTTTGTGTTGGTGAGGAGAGCTTGACTTCCAACTCGACTTGACAGCCACTACTGACATTAATAGCAGGCAACTGGCTTACTAAAGGATGGCTATCATCACGTGACTGAGCTACGTGTGTTAAATGTTTCTCCGACACATCTTCGATTAACAACAATCACGTCCACTTATCCCTTCTTTCGGTTGTGTTTGGACCGTGTTACTGAGATCTATGATCCCCATACCATGATTCACAAACTCGCTTCTTGCTTGACGAGGCGAGAAAGCATCCCCTCGCCTTCTAACGGTCCTTCGAGTACGGAAGTGAGCCGGAGCCGGTCCGTCCATACCGATTGGAACACCGACCCCGACCTTTTCCGATATACGAGAGGCCGATTTATCTCCAATGAAGCTCATGAGATGGCGATCCGACATGTCAATCTCAACATGGATGAACTGGCGAAGCGTGCGGCTGAGACCGTTGGCTCGACGCTCACCCAATGCGCCCGTGTCGAAAATTGTTCAATAAGGCGTTTTTGTTCACAATGCAAGACGGTTCACAGGTGGTTGGTAAGATCCCCAACCCTAACGCGGGGCGGGCTCATTATACCATGGCTAGCGAAGTGGCAACCCTGAATTCTGTAAGCGAGAGAACTCCAATCTCTCCTTTCAATTCTTAAGCGTCCTCTAGGTCAGAAATCATCTAGATACTCCGGTACCCAGAGTGCTTGATTGGAGCTCCAAGGCAACCGAGGATCCCGTGGGCGCGGAATACATCATCATGGAGATGGTCGGCTGCAGCCCAGAGTCTGTACCTGCAAATGTCGCTCAGTGCTTTATATCGACGGTTCACATGTGCGAATAACGAACAACTATTTCGAGCCATGGAATTCCGACAGACCCCGAGTTTCGAGATCATGTTGTTGGCTCAGAATATCCTTGTCGATGGAGAGGCGCTCTACCAATCTCGGATGCCCGAGCTGGAAGAGGAATGGTTAACTCTACCGGGCGTCCAGGCTGCTGGGAATCCACCGATTGCGTTCCATTTTTCCGCTGGGGAGGCTGATGCAATCGAGGAGGATGCCGCTGGCGCCATAAAGACCATGGAATTGATGCAGAGTTTAAGACAGTCGTTCGGTAACTTGTGGTCCGAGCAAGGGGTAGTCTCACCGGGCCACCATGATCAAGTGAAACTGCTTCCGGACCAAGCCAAGGCCGAGATCGTTGGCCCACTCGCCCACTCCGAGAAGGACAGAATGGCATGGGAAAAGTCATGGCCATATCATGGATAGTCCCAGGAAGGAATACCCGCCCATAAGGCAAACCTGGTCGAGGTTGAAACCCCGGGGTAAATGGAACCACAGTAGCCACTGCAACCATACCAAGGATGGTATGACCTTTGAGAAGAATCTCAGACGATCTGTGGCGAAGCAATGGCAGTCAGTGGAGGACAAGCAGTGCCAGAAGAGCAGTGGCTGACTTTATCAGTTGCAAGCTAAATTACTCCCTTAGTAGGAGGGTGCTAACCACCAGGCCATATCGATCAAGCCTATCCCCCAAGTCAAACGTGTAGCTTCAAAGGGCAAAACCACATGCAAGGTACTTTGGACAATGCTACTGACTTCGATGATGCGACGCAGAAGGCGACGGCACGACAAGAAAAATCCCTGCAGCCAGCTAACACACCATGACATCAAGTAGTCAATTCGGACTTCCCAAGGCAGCGATCGACAACGTGGACAAAACACGTTTTTAGGGCACGTACAACCATGGCCATTCACCGTCACCCACAGCCACTACGTATCCATGATCTAGACTCTCCATCGCCCACTACCGGCATATACTGACCTGCTGCATCATTTGAACCGACTTGAACAGGGTATCTCATATATTCATCATCCAACTCTATCCCTCCCTCCTATTTACAGACTCTCCCCCTTGCGACAGCATATACACCGCCCCCAAAACTACCACTCGACCCGATCATCATGCACCAACTCGACATCCCACCTCTCTTCTCCGCGCCACACCTTCCCTGGCTGATTATGCGCTGCCACCGCCCCGCGCAGCGTGGTGATGATGCCCGCGGGCCCGCTGGCCAACACCCGCGTCGGCCCGTCCACCACTTTACCTAAAAACTCCGTCACTTGGGCAGTGAGGTCTGGATGTGTGCTCGATCCCTGTGCACCAGCCTTATCCGCGAGGGTGTAATGCACCGCAAAAGGCGGGTCTGGATCCGGCAGCGTCGAGCCGCAGCACGGGGTCTTCTCATCTGTCTCGGGGTCACTGCTGGCATTGTCGTCCGGAACATCCCGGGTGACGAAGATGCGCACGCGGAAGGAATTCGGCGACGTCTGCGCCACGCGTTGCAGGATGTCCAGCTCCGGCGCGATCCAGTCCGTGTCGGCTGTGCGGCGGATGATCCAGATGAGTTCGATTTGTTGGTCGGAGGGGATGGGGGTGGCAACGCGCTGGAGGAGCGGGGGGAGGACGAAGGTGATGCCGGTGCCGCCGGCGATGCAGAGCAGGTTGCTTGTGCTGCGCGGGAGGCCACCCATGGAGGAGGGGTCTTCGATGGATTGTCCGTACGGCCCGCAGAGGAGCACGGGGGTCGTCGGCCCGGGACTCGTCATCGTGCTGGTTTCCCCGGCTTGGGGTGTCTGTGTGCGTGCTCTATCGGCGAGGACGCGCGTCAGCCCCTTCCGGGCGCGGATCAGGTAGGTGTGTTGTTGGCCGGTTGGTAATGTGTCGGGCACGCTGCAGGGGGTGAGCGGGTGCGCTTGCCAGAGGCTGAGGTCGGGGAAGCACAGGAAAAAGTGCTGGCCGATGTGCCAGGGGTCGTGGTTGTGGTGGAAGTCCAGCCGGATGATGTCGCCGTCGGTGGGGTTGGCGTGCAGCTGCATCGCGGCGTGGGGGATGTGCAGGCCCCAGCTGGAGGCTGTCGAAGGCAAGCCTAAGTGGTGCAGCACAAAGGTCCGCACGAGCCGCGCCCCCCGGTCCAGCAGCCAAACGACCAGCGAGGCCAGCATCCAGCAGTACAGATGCGCCCAGTGCGCCCAGCACGCCCCCACGTACACCATCGCCACGACGTAGTGCGCCTTGCGGAAGAACTCGTACCCCGTGAGTCGGATGACGGTCTTCGTGCTGTGCAAGACCAAGAAGGTGAGCAGGATCATCGCCACGATCCCCCAGATGATGTAGGGCTGCGCGATGAAGCTGTTCCACTGGCTGGGCTGCGGCTGGTACAGACGGCCCTCCACCACGGTCCAGCCGATGGTGTGCAGGGCCGACTGGGCGTAGATCACGTAGCCCAGCCAGCGGTGTAGGAAGTTGAAGTGGTGGTAGGGGATGCCGGTGATGAGCGACAGGAGGGATTCCCGGCTGGAGAGCAGGATGGACAGTGGTGTTAGGGCAAACGCCAGCACGCCGACACGGTCCGCCCACGGGCCCAGCCCGCTGCGGATGTTTGACTGCGTACTGCCGCTGATGGGCGTCGTCCACGTCTTGTAGGTGATACCCACCAGGGTGAAGACCAGCAGGTAGCCCGACAGCACGAGGAAGATGAGCACCTGCAGCCGCGTCGTGTGGCCGAACACCGGGGGGAGGGCTTCCGGGAGCAGATGGTGGCGCGTCAGGGCTTGGAGCGTCCTCGAGAGCCGATATAGTGCGCTCTGCTTGTGCGTTGCCGGCGGCGTGGTCTTGGGGGATGAGGGCATTCGCTCAATGCGGATCAACCGCCCACCCATCGCCCACAGGAACAAGATGCCCACGATCACGGCCCACAGGATGAAGCTGTACAGCATGGTGACGTCGTGGCCATGGTAGACGGCGTCGAGGTAGGCGCAGGTGCCGGCATCCTTGGTGCAGGGGATCTGGCGGGCCACATAGCCCCAATGCTCCTCCAGAGCGGAATCCTGGGAGAAATCCTGAATATGGCCCATGTGATGATCGACGGGAGGAGGGGAATGTACTGTACATGGCAGAGTAAGTAGCTGGCCCATATGCAGGGCATCTGGAGTCTTTTATCTCATCGACCCGCTGTCGAGTGGAGCCTGCCAAGACCGAAATCTGCTCACTGCCAAGCATCCTGCGTGATAATCTGCTCATTTCTCGCCTCCATATAAGACCCGGTGGATTTCCTGCTCAGGGTGGTGAGGTTATTCCCCCCATCTTGGACTACAGTGTGCTGTACCGTAACTGCACACCCCATTCCACGATCACGACCACCACCATGGATATGGACATGCCAAGTTCCTCCAATTCGAGCGCCTGCTCGGTGACGGTATGTGTACTAGCATCAATTATGCATGCATTAACAGCACAATGACTAATCCGCATAAAGATGCTCTGGAACTGGACCACCATTGATAGCTGTACGATCTCCCATCTTCAGTCGCAAATCCCCATTCCCGCATCACCACAAACACAACCCTAACTCCTCCGTCAACAGGCTTCCTCGCCTCTACCTGGCACATCACCACCGCCGGCCAGTTCGCCGTCTCCTGCATCGGCGTCGCCTTCCTGGTCGTCGTCCTCGACGTCCTGCGCCTGCTGAGCAAACAGTACGAGGAGCGGCTCCAGCGCCAGTTCCAGCGGCACGTCGCGGCGCAGTCCCCCGCCGAGCGCACGCAGTTCTTCTGCGGCGACACGCTGGCCGATGGGCCGATGGTGGTGACCTTCCGCGCCAGTCCGGTGCAGCAACTCATCCGCGCACTGCTGCAGACGATGCAGTTCGGGTTAGCGTATATCATCATGCTGAACGCCATGTCGTATAATGGGTACATGATCATTTCGATATTTCTGGGGGCGTTCGTGGGGAAAGTGCTGTGTGACCGCGGGGAGTATCGCGTGGTGCTTCCGGCGAAGGGGAAGCTGGCCGGGGAGGTTGCTGCGCCGGTCCCAGACAAACCGGAGGAGTGGACGACGGGGTGCTGTGGGTAGATGCAGTATAGGACTGCGTTTCGAATTAGATTTGTCAATAACGATGCTGATGATTATGCTAGTGTCGGTCGAGTAGTATGGGTAGACACAGTAGTCACGTGACTGATATGAATTGTGGCGGAGTCAGAGGATTCTGCCTGAAATGCCTGAAAGTGGCTCGAACGCGCTCAATTCCTCGCGCCAAGAGTCTTGTGCAGGTGAAGAGGACAAGAAAATGGTCTATTTATGGGCTATCTCTCAAATACCTACACTAACTTGACTAGTATACAGCTAAGCCTGCTCCTTGGCCAACTCCTCCCGTACCCGAGGCAGGATATACCGGCCATAGTCCACCGCATCGTTGTAGTTGTCATACCCGCGGATGGAGATCAGCTCTGCGCCCAACTTGACATAGTCCAGCAGGGAATCCACGATGGTCTGATGCGAGCCCACCAGCGCGGTGGAGGCGCCCCGCGCATTGGTGGCCGTGACGGTGGGATACCACAGGGCGCGGTCCTGGACGTCCCCCCGCTTGGCGATCTCCAGCAAGCGCTGCGAGCCCGCGTTCTGCGGCGGCGGCGCATCGGCAGCCACGCGGCCAAAGCCGTTCTGGCGGTGCGACGTCAACAGATCCAACGTGCGATGCGCCTTGGCCCAGGCCAGCTCGTCCGTCTCCGCCGTGATGGGCCGGAAGGTCACCCAGATCCGGGGCCGGTCCGTCTCCGGGCGCCCGGCCTTGTCTGCCTCGGCGTAGATGCGATCGATCTGCTCCTTCGTCTCCTTGAGTGGTTCTCCCCACAGTCCGAAGATGTCGGCCAGACTGCCGCCGATGCGGTAGGCCTCGTCGGACGAGCCGCCCACCGACACCGGGATCGTGCCGTTGACGGGCCGCACCCGGTTGCTGAACCCCTTGAAGGTGTAGTAGGGGCTTTCCCAGTCGAATGGCTCGTCGGACTCCCAGGCCCGTCGCAGGATGCGGATATAATCCTCTAGACGGCCGTAGCGTTGCTCTTTGGTCAGGAAGTCGCCCTCCCGCGCTTGATCGGCGTCGCTGCCTCCGGCGATGAGATGCACCACTGCACGGCCTCGGCTGAGTTGGTCCAGTGTTGCCAGGGCCTTGGCGGCGACGGTGGGGTACAGCGTGTTGGGACGGAGAGCAATAATGATCTTGAGGTTCTTGGTTACTGCGGCGATGGTTGCACCCGTCGTGAAAGGGTCGAAGTACGACGAGTCGTAGGGTACCAGCGTGTAGTTGAACCCGTAGTCGTCCAGCGACCGGGCATACCGCACGAGAAAGTCGGGGTCAATGGGGGCATTGGGGATGGGGTTGAGCTCCGTCGAAGGATTGGGGAAAGTGAGACTGATGAATTCGGTGGGCATGGTGCTGGTTGATGGTGGTTTGGTTGGAGTTAGGGCTGGGAGATGGGTGTGTTCTGTCGTCGGCCGCCAGCTGGCTGGCTTTATAGCCGCCCCTCCGAACATCGGATGCCGGCACTTGTTATGGCACCAACTGCAGGTTGGATGGCGTTGGCTGTGGGTTGATCCGATAGCTCTGGTCTGAGCGTATCATGAGGGGTGATGGTCGGTTCCTGGCTGCATGGCGTCAAACCCCCCGCAATCACGTCATCAATGCTGCGTCGTGCTGACAAACTGGGGTGGGAGAGAGATAAGAGCATTTGCAGATGAAGTAACGCTTGTTCATGATTGTTTACTCAACAAAATAAGACGTGAAGATGAAAGTTGAGCAGTGGCGATGTGTGGTTTGATCGAGAAGGAAGGGTCGACTCCGATCTTGCCCTACTAAACCCTGCCGCTGCTTCTACAAGATTCATCATGAACATCTACACCCTTGCTCTGCATGCTATACATTGAGAGCTTACTCAACAAATGATAACGCCGTCTTTCACCATGACCATCTCGCTGTTGCACACTGCCCTGTGGGCCACACCTGGCTTCCAGTCCAACACGTTTGTTCCAGGCCGAATCCGCAAGGCATGCAGAAAGTAGGCCCAGCAGCCTTATGCTGGCAAAGGCTCTCGTGATGTGAGTACTCCATCCCGCTGGGAGAAGTGATCTTCGAATGCCTCTCGTCGTAGCATGGGCACGAGCCAGTGTCCGTCTCCGTCGTCGGCCTCGTCTTTCCACTGGCCGATGTTTCGGGCCTGAGATTTGTGGGTGGTGAATCGGGAGTATGCGAAGCTAATGGGGCCTTTTGATTAGGGTGAGGAGCTGGCCGGAGAGTCCGAGGGCTTGATTGATGTCGCTCTGGACTTGGGAGACCTTGTCCCCGCTGGGCTGGTCTTGAAAGGTACGTTCAGCCTTTGAATTGAAGTGCAGTTGACGAGAGAATGAATCTAAGAAAAGGATAGAGCGGGTGAGATAAGAAAGAAGGCCATCTGCTCAGCCACAGCGGGGTTTTAAAAAAGAGCACAAGGCAGTCTGTACAACCCAAGCGACAGGGGTCAGTGTCACGGCTAGCAACTCCTGAGTGTATTGTGAGGCTGGAAGAGAATCTTCTGTGTGCTATGTAGTACAATAAATCCTTCCAGGCTATGCAGCACAAATTCATCCACGGCATTACACCCGCTCTTCCACCTTTGCCTTCCACAGCAGCTCCTCCACGGTAGTGAAATGCATACCGGCAAAGAACTTCTCTCGCTGTCGCAGCGTCTTCTCCTGAGGACAGGCAGTAGCACCGCTGATCGTCCATTCCTCCGCCTCGGCGATGGCCAGCTCCAGACTCTCCGGCTGGTCCTCGTACTGCTGGATCGTGGTTCCAATTTCCTCCTCCGATCGGTAGTTTCTCTCGAAGGGTCGGCCTGCCATTTATGAGCCACGCCTCTTTCTACTCCTTTTTGCCATAGATAGAACTGGCATAGGATAGATACCGAGTCACAGCTCGAAGGAAAGGGAGAGTAACATACCGTAGACTCTCTCCAGCAGGGAAGCCATCTGATTGAACGTCCCCCACTCCCCGACCACATACGTGACCGGCTCCTAGATTAGGGTAGTGTTAGCCCTAACCCTTATGCCTCACGCTCATCAACCACCTGTGACAATGGAATGACCTCCCATAACAGCCCACAATTAGGAGAAGACAAAGAATGGAAGAAACCCACCCAACTCCCATTATCAGCAGCTAGTAATCTCCCCACCGCACAAGCTATATTGCGCGCACACGTCCAGCTCTGCGCCTCCTCTCCCGTCCCGCGGACGGTGTACTTCCATCGTGTAAGATCGATCGGAAACTCCCCCGGCATACACCTGCGATAGGACTTGTGGGCCGGGAGGAAGTACTCCATACACCAGCCGTGATTCAGCAATGTGTACTCTACTTTCTTCACGGGGTGGGATGGGGCTTCGGATTTCCGGGAATCTGCTTGCTGGGCAAGAGTCTGCCGGAACGGAAGACGAGTCCGACCGTATGCTCGCGGCAGGGTCGGGAAAGATTCGATGTCCCCTGCCCATTCGGATGGGATGAAGCGGGTGCAGGTTTCAGTCTGCTGAGAAGCTTCTAACAGGGTGGTGTGGAGGGGGAGGTATTGGTCATCTGGGCAGCGGAGGAGGGAGATTAGGGCCGTGGTGCGGGTGGTGCGGAGGATGTGTAGGAGGGAGGGAAGGGTGTAGTCTGTGGTTTGGGTGGTCACTCTTTCAGTGGCTGGGGTGGAAGGGTTGGTCTTTATTATGAGTCTTTTGATTAACTGAGAGTTGATAAGGTGAATAGTATGAGAGATAGTAGAAAAGTGCGATGGACTAGGGGGGAATGGGGGCTCGAAGGCTTACCTGCCGAGTAAGAATCACGACGCTGTAACGGGGATCTTCGAGGAGCTCTGCCTGGAGGTAGTGGCCCAGGTCGCCGCTGCCGCCTGCTAGGGCTATTACTTGGGGTTCGGTCATTGCTGTAGACATACTGGGAGTGTATATCAGCTAGGAAGGGACATGTTTGGGCTGGGATGATGGATGGTAGATTTGGTGAGATTGAGGGATGAGCATACAGACAGGCTAGCTGAACCTATTTAAACTTGAGCTGCCAGCTGACATGTGTCTAGGTAGATTGCGAATCGAGCTAGAACGTATGAGCACCTGCGAACACGTCAACATCTACATGTCGTGCATGTTTGCTAACCCTAGAGTAGCATATGCAGCTATCTTTTTAATGCCGAGGCCTCAATGACTGCGTACTTCAATCCATTCCTCTCGGCCAACCACCTCTAGCAATCGTTCCAGATTATCTCTCATCATCCACCATTCATTCCAAGCATCGTCTAATTCAATCGATGACGAGAAAGGTGACACCGCCCATCACCAAACACAGCACCGCTGGCATTTATCAAACCAGAGTCAGTCCGTACTCAAACCAGCCCAGCCTACCCAGAAACTAGAAAGCATACCTAGAACCACATTCATCTGGTAATATCCCATCTTCTCCGTCAAGGTCCCCGAGACCAAGGGCCCCACAAACATCCCCAGCTTCCAGCTGATGTTGGACATGGAGAACGACCGCGAGTACCCGCCGTGCGGCCCGAAGATGCCTGGATACTCGTGCGAAAGCTCGTTGGCGCCGTCTTCACACATTCAGGGTTAAATTTGGATTCTGTTAGACAAACAATCTCGACTGACTCACGTAGAACCTCGACAGCCCCGAACCCCAGCAACAAAGTCCGCCAGACCCCGATCGCTAGTAGTGTAACGATGTAGATTACCCGGTTCATATCCTCGTTGTCCGTCCACCAAACGTCTTGTGCGCGTCCCGGAACCCCGAGTAACCACAGCGACGGGGCTAGACACAGGAACCCGATCGTCACGGGGAATCGCATCCCAATCCGGTCTTTCAGCCACCCAGCTGGGATGACGAGGATCATCGATGGGGCCTGCAGGAGCAGGAACAATAGCCCTGCTTGGAGAGACTCCCAGTGGAAGACGGCCTTGATGTGAATGGGGATCGTCGTCTCGAAGCTGGCAATGATGATCGCGAAGAGGGTGTCCGCTATTAGTGCTGTAGCTACCCTTCTCTTGCGTAGCATGAGGGTGTAGACATTCTGGGTGGGGAGAGAGGTGGATTCTGCGATTGTTGAGTAATGCGTGCTCTCCGGGTGGGATACGGAGGAGAGCAACGGGCTTCGGATCTGTGATTCTTCTTCTGTGGGAGACTCCTCAATGCACATATCGTTGTTGAAAGGACCGACTATGAGGAGTTGCAGGAGAGTTCCGACGAGTATCACGGCGAATGCACTCCCCCATGTCATAACGTAGGACACGAACTGGTAGAGAGACCCCGACACAGCCGGTCCACTGAGGAGCCCCGCCGACACGAAGAGCATGGCCAAACCCAGGGCTTTAGCCAGATGTTTCGCTCCCACTGTATCCCCAAGAATGGCCATGCCGACGATCCAGATCACCGACCCGGCCAGGGTTTGGATGATTCGACCAATGAAGAGAACAGACACGGTAGTACTCCATGCTGTGATGGCTGTGCCGATCGCGTTGGTCACCCATGAGATCACCATCCACTGGTTCTTCGACCTGGAGCCATCCGCTAAATGGCCGGTGAACGGCGCGATGAGGATCGAGATCAGCGCGTTCAGGGACAAAAGGATGGAGGTGAGGAGCTGCGTGTGCGAGGAAGATTGTTGAAGTCGGTCTTGTAGGATGTCGGGCAGGATGGGGATGATGAAGCTGAAGAGGAAGGTGTCTGTCGATTCGATTAGAGGGCGCGAGGAAAAATAACGGGGTGTTTACCAGCGAACATGGCGAGGGAAATGACTGCCAAGATGAACAGGCGCGAGGATCGCCACCCATAGCCGATGGGCTTCGTGGGAATGATTTTCGAGGCCATGGCGACAGTCAATTGGGTCTAGGATCGAGGAACATTGCGTGAGGAAATGTTCGAGTGACTACAAGTAGTTAAATTCAAGCAACGACATTCTCGAATATCATTCTAGCACCTTCTGAGCCTGTCAGCTCAGCTACGACACAAGCGATAACCCTCATTCCCCCACTGGTATACGAATCCGTACGCCCTAGTCACTCGTTCCTCTAATCAACCGGCCTATGGCGATGCAGAGCGAATGGCTCCTACTGCGAAAGGCGACTGATTGGCCTCAGCCAGACAAAGAAAAAGCACAGACGGCCCTCGTGTCACGCTAAAGCAAGACCCAAGAATGCACCCTCACTGCGCCATCAGCCCCAGCTCCGTGGCGGCGATCTGCAGTGCAACGAAACGGGAGTAAATGCGACACAGTGATAGGCTTCCACCCATGAGCCACAAATGGCGATGCCCGCTCGGTCTCCAGATCTATTCGGGGATTCGGTCAGTCCGGCAATTTCTGGTCTGCGCGGTGATGTACGGAGGATGTGGGTAATGCTGCTGCTGTACGCACCGTCTGTATCTCACCCTCCTCGTCCAGATCCCACACGTCCTTGCATTGGTCGGCCACCTTCGGCCCTAGCGAGTGGCGCACCGAGTCGCGCATGTTGGCGTACCCCGTCGCCAGCACCACGATGTCTGCAGCCAGATAAGTGCCGTCGGCGAGGTGCAGACCCCCTTGGTCGAAAGAGGCAATACCGCCCGCACACGAATGCAGGTGGACCTTGCGGTCGATCAGTAGCTGACTGCAGCCGAAGTCGATGTAGTAGCCCCCGCCGCGGGAGACCAGCGAGCGTAGCAGTCCGGCGCCGTCGAGGCCGAAATCCAGTTGAAAATCGATGGATCGGAGGCCCTCGAGAACGGCAGAATCAGCGGCGGAAATGCGTTTGGTAAGGTCGACGCAGAGGGCAAGAGTGATGGGCCAGGGCAGGCTTTCGGAGAGAATGTCTTGCGTGTTGATGGGAGGGCTGTGTGTCTGTTAGGGCTGCTGGTTGGAGGTTGAAAGGGAAGCGTGAGGGAGCATCCTCACCGATTGTCATCGTCGATGCCATGGTTCTCCGGGATTAAAGGCAATCCGTGCTTTTCGGTCAGGACATACGTCGGACCCCGCTGCAGCATCGTCACGACTGCTCCCTGTTGGTAGAAGTCCTGCGCAATGTCGTGGCCACTATTCCCGGTCCCCACTACCACCACCTTTTTGCCTTGCGGGGCCAATGCCCTGGCGTCAGCATGCTGACTCGCATGGTAGATCGTCCCTTTGAAGTCCGCCTGCCCTGGGAAGCTGGGGACCTTGGGTAGGCCCAAGTGTCCTGCGCACCAGGCGATGTGTCGTGGGCGTAGAACACGCTCGACTCCGTCTCGGACGAGGCAGACTGTCCAATACCCCGCCGTCTGATTATACTCCGCCGACCTGACTTCTGTCTTTGTCCAAACATTTAGCTCCATGATTGTTGAATATGATTCCAGCCAGTCTGCCAGCTTGTCTTTGGGAAGATATTTGGGCCAAGTCTTGGGAAAGGGCAAGTGGGTGAGATGGCAGGTTTCTATATGGTCGTGAGTAATGAGGGTCTGCAGTCGTATTAGTCCCTTCTTATCCGTTCCATCTGGAGTTGAGAGGATGTGCAGACCCGATATCGCTTTCGCCAGTTATCTCCCACGCGCTCGTTCTTCTCTACAATGAGACACGATTGTCCGATGGTCTGCAAGCGCACCGCTAGATTGAGTCCTGCTTGGCCTGAAAGGAAGGGTTTAGCATATCATTCACATCAGCAACCGAGAAAGGCTCTGACCTGCACCCACTACCAACACTGTGGGATCGATGTCCACAAACTCCTTCTCGCGCTGCCTTCGCTCCAGCCAGTTTCCTTGCGCAACTCCACCCGGCATGGACTCGATGGTCCCATGTGGCCGTCGCAGCCCTAATGTCTCCTCCGCTTCATGCAGCTCCTGCAGCGCAGTATACACGGAATATGCCTTCCACCCTCCCTCCTCGGTCGGGGTTAGGTAGAACACCCCGCGTCCGTGGCCAAATCGGGTCTCGAAGGCAAACATTGCCGTGATCCATGTAAGTCCGAGGAATGGGGTGTCCATGGCGGGCTTTGTGTCCTCATCGCTGTACAAACGCGCATCCTGCAGTTGCGCATGGGGAAGGCGCTGGTCGAGGTACCTTTGGATGTTGGGACAGCCTCGGATCGTGTGGAAATCCCAGTCCAGGGCGAGCATGTCGCGCCACCAGCTGTCTTCATGGAAGAGGCTGGTAAGAGTGATGGAGGTGTTGCCGATTAGTTGGATGTTCAGTAGGGCGAGCCATTCCTGAGCGACGGTGGTGGGGTTGATGCTAGATGGATTCACGTTGGGGGTGGTGGGAAGTTGAATGATGTGGTGGTAGGGGGGTGTCATGTTGACTGCGCTTTCCGTGAGGTGAATGCTGTGGGTTGATATCTCGAATCTATTACATGGAGGTTCAGTAGATAGTTGGTACAGGTACAGTGCATCAAATATCTCCCGATGTCAAGATCTGTTCCTACCCGCAACATCTGCCCCTGAACCCTTACATGACTTCAACCTTGTTTGTACTCTATATTGTATGTATTGTTACAATGACCGACTCCTGCAGTCTGCCGTACAAGTGCCAATTGCCTTGTCTATCTGCTCGATGACGATCCTGAAGAATTACAATCTGTTGGGGGTGTTTGCTGGCGGCAGCCTTCACAATGAGCCATCCCTGCATAGGGTTTCGAATGGGCGCCTCAGAGCCAGTCGATAAGGCGCCATGCATCTAGCATCATCTTGTGCTGCAAGAAGTAGCCGGGGGATCCTGGTCCCGGACACGTCAACGCAACAGTCTTTGAAAAGTATCTAATGAATGAGTTTAATAAATGCTCGTTGAGGTTATGGCGTGCTACACTTGTTCCCACTGCAGTGCGCTCCACCCCTCAATCGGTGATAGCCTCACCACTTGGATAGAACTCCATTGAGAAGCTATTCAAAGTTAGGTGACTACCTTTACTTGAATACAGGCCATTGAATCAAGATGTCCACCCCACCAAAATACAGCCTCGCTGCCCCCGCCAAGCGCCCAGAGATCCTCGCCCTCGCGCAGGACCTCAACGGCACTCCATCGGGGGAGGAGTATGAGAAAATGATATCGGGGATGATGTACACACTCTCTATTTGCTCCCCTATATCTAATCAAGTCAAGGCTTACACTAGTGGTCAAGGTACGACCCAACCGTCCCCGCCCTCCTGGAAGCCCGCCATCTCGCCCGCGGCCTCGCCGCTGCCTACAACAACCTCGAAACCACCACTGTCCCCTTTGATAAGATTGGAGAAGTGAGACTAGAGCTGCTACGCAAGTTAGTCGGCAAATTAGGGGACAAGACGTTCGTCGAGCCGCCCTTCCGGCCGGATTACGGGTGCAATATCTCCTTCGGGAGGGAGGTTTTTGTGAATTTTGGGTAAGTTACATCTGGATTCTCTTACCTTATTTCACCGCGTGAGTGATGTTGTCCTTGAGACGATGAGTGGCTATACCCTGGACAAAGACACCCCTCTTGGAATTGGCTAATATCCTCAGACTCACCGTCCTCGACACCAGCCTGGTCGTCATCGGGGACCGGGTCCAGATCGCGTCGAACGTCAGCATCATTGCCGCCAGCCACGATCCCAGTGTTCTCTCGCGACGGAGGGGGGTCGAGTTCGGGCATCCGGTCTTCATCGAGGATGATTGCTGGATCGGAGCGAATACGGTCATTCTTCCCGGTGTGACGATCGGGCAGGGCTCGACAATCGGGGCCGGATCCGTGGTTACGAGGGATGTTCCTCCTTATTCGGTAGCGTTTGGGAGTCCATGTCGGGTGAGAAGAGCGTTGTCAACGGCTGAGGAGGAGGAGATGGATGTGGAGAATCCTTACAGGGGGGTGTTTATATAGAAGGAGGGGACATACTGAGGTGGCTGGTGGACAGCGAATGCATTTGAGAACTATTTGACAATCTACTACACAGACAACAATCACTAAATAGAGGACACATTCGAGACTTTACCCCTCAGCCAGTGGGGACTGTATCGCACCACCAGAGACGCAGGCGAGGGACATTCCAACAGCTGTGGAGCTGCAGCCAAAGCTCTGCAGAGATTCTCGGTCCGAAATTCTGGCATCCCCTGCTGCATCTCCCACAGACTGCGTCCTTCCCAAACCTTCTCCTCCAACAACGGGAGCAAAGATTGAAGGGGACTTTCGTGGGTCTGCGCCAGAACTCCAACCCATTCGGAATAAGGAACAGGACGCAGGGGCGTCTTGCCGCGGACCTGGTTCAGCAGAGTGAAGATTGTCGAGAGCTCCACACCTGAGCCTGCTGTAGGATGCACCACGTTATACGCTTGACGGGCATGCTGCGAGCCAGAGGCGATATGCAAAAGTGTCGAGACTACCCAATCCACCGGGACAATATCCTCGCGATGACCAGGCAGCAGCGGATAACAGCCACATTGCAGGCTGGCGGCGACGACCCGCGCCAGGAAGTCGTCCGGGTTCATCGTCCCCGTCTCACTGTGGCCCAGGACAAACCCGAGCCGGTAGATGGTGATGGGTAAGCCCCGAGCAATCGCGTTCCAGGCGATAGTCTCTGCCACCATCTGACTTTGCGCGTAACCCATGGCAAAAGGAAGAGCCGACATGTGCGAGGCCGGCTGCTCCTCCTCCATCAGATGCGTGTGGCCATTCACCACACCTGTGGGTCCGTACGCGCTGATACTCGATGTGTAGTGCAGCGCCTTGGTGCGGCCGCTGTTCGCAAACCGGATCAAGTGCAGCGTCCCCAGCACGTTCGCCGCGCGGTGGCTCGAGTACGGCTGCACGAAGTTGACGTGCGCTCCAAGATGGAACACCACGCTCGTCCAGTGCGAGAGCCACGAATACTGCTGCGGGGTCAATCCCAGATCCTCGTGGGCGAAGTCCCCAGCCATAGCAATAATCCGTGCTTCTTGGGCGGGCGTGAGCATCAGACTGTATTTGAGTAAAGCCTTTCGGATGCGGCGGTGGGCATGCTGGGCATCGGTAGCACGCACCAGACACACTACCGTTTCCACCTCGCTGAGTGCAAGGAGTCCAGCCAGGACGAAGGCTCCTACAAAGCCTGTGGCGCCAGTCAGGAAGACGACGCCCTCGGAATAACTGCGCCAGTCAGGGATTGAGCGCGACAACGGTCGAAGGTCGAGTCCCAGGCGACAGTCGCGTTGCCATTCTGCCTGCGCGGAGGTTGTGTGGTCCGTTAGGGCTGGAATGTCGCTGGCTCGAAGCAATGAACACAACGTCCGGAAGGAGGAATTCTCGAACAACACCGAGACGCGGATTTCACGACAAAAGAGTTGTCGGAGACGAGACACGAGCAGTGCAGCGTGAAGCGAGGTTCCCCCGAGGACGAAGAAATCGTCATCGTCGTGGAAGGTGGCGTTGGGTAGTCCGAGTAGCTCCTGCCACAAGGTTCGTAGCTTATCCTCCACACTTTTGGCGCCGTTGACTTCATTGTCTCTCAATGATATCGGTGCCAGGCTCTGCAGGTAACCGCTGGCCAGCGCTTTGCGATCGACTTTCCCGCTCCCAGTGAGAGCGATCCGCTCGACAACCTGAATGCGAGGTACCATCAGATGCGGTGCCTGTTCGATGTAAAGCTGACGAATAGCGGTAGATGTGATCTTAGGAGAAAAAGGAATCACGCAGACAAGCAGGGCGGATCCTCCATCCAGCTCATCAAGTGTAATTCTCAGTGCCACGGCGCGTACCACAAGCTGGATCGCCAGCAGAGCCTTCTCTATCGCACCCAGGTCGACTCGCTGTCCGCGGATCTTCACCTCGCTGTCGCGACGGCCAATATAAATGATGTCCCCGGAATCATTTCGCCGCACAAGGTCGCCTGTCCGGTAGAGCAATCCCGGGGATGTTTGGCAGTTCTCATGGAGGTGAGGAGCAGACACAAACACCTGGGCTGTCTTCTCGGGCTGTCCAAAATATCCCCCTGCGACTCCGGTGCCACCCACTACCAACTCTCCCACGCTGCCCTGAGTCACGGGGTGGAGGTTTTCGTCGACTACAAAGGCGTCGTACCCACTGAGGGGTCTCCCAATGGGAATCTCACCCCTTTCAATGTCCTCCAGAGTTACCAGGTGGTAAGTCGTGAAGATGGACAGCTCCGTCGGCCCGTAGACGTTGAACAGCTTCCGCGGAGGACCGTTGGCGAAGATGGTTCGGATGGTGGGGACATGGATGGCCTCTCCACCTGTTAACAAGCTATCAACATGAGAGTAGGCATGGGGACAGGTATGTGCGATGGTAGCAAGCAATGAAGTGGTCTGCCACATCACGTTGATTCGGTCCACCTGGAGTCGTCGCTCAAAGATAACTGGATCCAGGAACTCCTCTCGTTGAAAGACAACCACAGTTCCACCGTGCAAGAGCGCAGACCAGATCTCCCACAGCGATACATCAAATCCCACATTGCAGACGTGGGCCACGCGGTCACCACGATGAATTGGGGCAAATTCGTTGAAAACGAGGTTGATTAGCCCAGCAGCAAGCACTCGCACGGCCTTTGGCTGACCGGTGGACCCGGAGGTGTGAAGAATATGGGAGCAGCAGGAAGGCGAATTGTCGGACACCGAGAGCTGATCAACTGTTCCTCCCTCAGCAGAGTCCCAATTGACAGCCAGATGTTGCAGGTTTGGCAGTCGATGTGCGTTGGAGTGATCTGATAGAACTAGAGAGTTCCCTAGATGCAGCAAGAGTCGTTCGAGATGGTCATCAGGAAGTTCAATGTCTAGAGGGACACAGGTTGCTCCGGCATACACCACGGCCGCCTGGGCCAGGATATGGTTTATCCCTCTCGATATTAGGATTCCGATGGGTTGCTCCTTTGTGACTCCGAGCTTCTCGAGCTCGAGGACAATACTCAGAGCCTTTGTGTGCAGTTGCCGAAACGTTACGCGATAGTCACCCTCCTCAAGGGCAGTATCATCTGCGTATAACTGCACCTTTTGCGCCAGTAGCTGGGCCAGACTCAGCTCGGGCCTGCTTTCGTTAAACATTCTTGGGGATAAATTCACTATACAATACAAAATGAAAAGAACAGGGAGGTATCAACCTGACAAGGACAAGAGATACCACGACGGAGACAGAGATGAGTCCGCTATGTCACCTCAGCCTGCTTCAGTGTTTGCAATCATGCTTGCGGGACACCGAGCCCACTAAGCGCCAGGAGCGAGCTTGATTTCATTGATAACTGATCTGCTACTCTTCAATTTCACAATGCAGCTCACTCTGGACGTTGTTAACCTGCTATGGCCTTCGGAGGGCTAGCTGCGCCCGGTACCGTTCCATTCCGGATCCACAATTTTGGCGCTGACTGGACGTGCAGACAATGAGATTGATCGGTGACGAACTTCGTAGCGGTGTCACCTTGGGTGGAGTGGCAGTGGATACAGTGCACTGATTGGTTGGCAGCTAGCAAGTTCACATTGATCTACCAGGCTGGTTGAGTCGTGACGATTCTATATTTAGGGGCCGAGTGTCATGCTCGTCGAACTGAGAGTTTGACACAACAACAAAACAGCAATAGTCTACCTACTAGTCTGAACTGCGCTGTTGATCCCTTATCAAGACCAAGATGCAGAGCACCCAGATCAATTTACTCGATTATCTACGTGCGAGAACGCAGGTAGATCTGGATACGTTTGATGTGACCGGTATGGGTCTCCCGATGATGCTGTGACAGAGAACAGTGGTTGAACTTCCTGTAGTGGCAAAAGAGTTTGAACAATGCGTTGATTGCACTTCAAATCAGGTAAGACTGGGTGCCACAACGAGATGTCTCTCTCATACTGAAAGTCAAAACATAGTATGAGTACTATACGGAACTCGCCAAGGAGGGCAGACGCGTTGTTCTCGACAAAGCTATCGAACTCGCTGCTAGTCTCCATCAACAATATCCCACTGTCACGCGGGAGGAACTGACGATAGAGATCGGGGTAAGTCAAGCAGAGGTTGTTGACTGTACAGGCTGATGAAGCATCCAGGCCATTCTTCTGGCAATCAATGTTCGACCTTTCGTGACGGGAAACATCCACCTCATGGTCAACCCTAACTACGCCTACGATCAGCGCAAGACCGTGGAGGCCGCAAAAAGTGAGTTTTGCATGGACTGCTTTGACCGGCGCTGACTATATCTCGCGGACAGGACTGCATCGTCTGTTCCATGAGATTGACCCAGACTTCGATCCCTCCCGTCTGGTGCTGAAGGTCGCTGCCACCTGGGAGGGGTTGCAGGCGTGCCGGGAGCTGCGGTATTCACGTATTCAGACCTTGGCAACCACCCTGTTCACAATGGAGCAGGCCATCCTGGCCGGAGAAGCTGGCTGCGTCTCCATCTCTCCTTTTGTGCATGAGCTGAAAGCAATTTTTGAGCCCAGCTATAAGGGCGCAGATCCATTACTGCTGTTGTGTGTCCAGGCCCAGCAGTGGTATCGGCAGGAGTCGTTGCCGACCAAGGTCAAGGCATGTGCGACCATCGGATTGAACGAGATCTTGCAGCTGGCCGGTGTGGCAGCATTTACCCTGGTCCCGGATGACCTGAAATTGCTACAGTCCAGCCACAAGGGGGTGGACGAGGTGCAAAGCTTGTCATTGTTCCAGGATAGGGAGGTCATGCAAGATACGCTTGCCTACCCGTCTTACATCAACGATGAAGCCGGGTATCGCCTGGCTTTTGCGAGAGTAGAGGAAGGCCGTGCTCAGTTGAAACTTGGGCAGGTAGGTGACTCTGGACTGTGGAAAAGGCTCAGGAACTGCGTACTGATCTTCCTTCTAGGCGATCAACATCTTCTGTGATTTTCAAACTAAGGCCGAGCAATTGGTTCGGGACGCGACGCGTGCGTGAGCATTGCATAAGAGTATTTTTAGGACAGTATTTGACTACCTCATTTCGCAGAATGCAACGAGTATGCTACTTTCTCTCTGTGATTTTATTCTCTGTAGGATCTACTCGTAGTTTACAGTTTGCTATAATCCCATTGGCAATGCGCTCGGTCGGGTCATTGTGGATGATGTCCTTATGCGACTGAGCCGTGACTGTGACTGTGATGCGGTTGCATCAGTCACCATGTGGGGTTGTGTACGTTGTGCGAGGTTCCACACAGCCGTGAGCGCGAGCGCATCACGAAGATTGTGCAACATGAAACGAGGTCTCAGTTCTCCAGAGCACATAACCAGAGCTGACTCCACCCCTAATCCAGCCCAGGAGCTGAAAGTCTCACCCTGAGCGTCGTACAGAACGGATCGCCGCAGTGTCCGATAAATAGATGCATCTAGTACCACGTTATACAGATGAACCAGTTCCCAGCGGCCAGACACTGTTCTTACGGCAGAGTATACAACCCAGGTTGAGGTTCGTCATGAAACTCCAGCAAGTCTTGGTACCCGGACTGGCGGCGCTGCCACTGCCAGTACCCGAGCTATTGGGTAGAAATGTGAACTATCTATTCACTTTGTATGTCGTTCATTCCTCCCTTGTACAAGATCGTAATCGTAGCCCTAAATGGGCCGGGACCTGACTTGAGCGACGGGAACAGTGGCGATTCCTACACCACCACCGGTTTCAATGTGTCGGCTGAGCAGCCAGCCGTGGGGAATCCGATGGGGAATCCGGAGTTAGGTGTGTTTCCTTTTTTCTCTAGGGGTTTGTTTTCGACGTGATGAATGTTCCCCCCCAGTCCAGCCCACTGATCACTGATCCAAGACGGGTGAAGGCCAAGGCACCGCCTCCGATGGAATCAACTGGGTCGGGTATCTAACCACCCACTTTAACCACACCTTAACATTTAGCTATAACCTGGCGGTGTATGGAGCTACGATCGATAATGAGGTGATTCCGAATGAGCCGGGGGATGTGGTGAGTCAGGTTCGGGAGATGTTTGGAAGGCATTACTGTCGAGGAGCGGCAGGGACTACACCCGATGCTTGGACGGAGGTTGCAGATGCAGCGCTGTTTGTGATTTGGGTGGGGATCAATGAGTACGTCCCTTCACTATTTCCGTCGTCCATACGTCTTAATTGTTTGATCATGTACGAGTTATGTGTGGTTGGGGATGTTTGCCAGTCCGATTTCCAATCCGCCTGCCCCTACCCTATCCTACCCTTGCCTTGCAGATGTTACTCGGGCAAACCAGTCAATGCACAAACTTACACAACCATGAATTCAATTGGGTGGATGACAGTGTACAATTCAGCTACCTCTCTCCCAACCCCCTCCTACAACTCACCGCTGCACTGGACACGTACTCTCGGCTGTTGACAGAACTGCACGACTGCGGCGCCCGGCGCTTTCTGGTCATGAATGTGCCCCCGACCACCCGCACGCCAAACATGCTGACTCACAGTCCGAGACGACGCGCTCGCCATCTGACTACTGTCCACTTATTCAATCTGTTATTGGAGCGGATGGTGAAGCGGTGGGCCGGGGGATTTCCGGATGTACGTCACCCCTCTGCATTCCCGTTGGGTTGGAAAGCTATTGATGTACGCATTGCTAATCGGTTATGCTTGTTGTGCCACCGTGACTGCAGGCGACGATGACGCTCTTCGACGTGTTTGCTTTTATGAATGCGGTCCTGGATGACCCCAAGCGGTATGGGTTCCGGGATGGAACGTGTATGGACGAGGAGGGTTGTGTGTGGTGGGATGATTTTCATCCGAGGTCGGAGTTTCATTTCGTTCTGGCGAGGCAGTTGGAGGGATTGCTCGACGGTGGTTTGGATTGAGGCCGTTGGGTGTGTAGCTGATAAGGCGGAAAGTAGCACTTGAGACTGGCTGGCATGGTACGGGTCTGCATTGTCGTACTATGAGACTCACAGCAGTGATGTTGAAATGTTCAATTGTAGAGGCAAGAACTGAGTGCGGGTTGCTGCTGAAGTGGAGGAGGTGATATCTGTGATATCTATGAGTACTACCTGTACCTTGAGCCGACAATCCTCAGCAAAACTGATACTGTTAAACGTACTACATTCAACATGGCTGACACTGTTAACGTTCTAACGTACCTCCGTTCCACGACCCAGCTTGACCTGGATAGTCTGGATCTCGAAGGTATGCTTGTTTCTTGATTCTTAGCTATTGATGCTAAAGCATCTCAGCTGCCCGTAACGGAGGTCTCGATGGGCCGTGGACAGATGCCACCTCCAACCCAGTATGTGCCTCTCCTGACACCAGTGAAAGACATACTAAAAGTTAAGGATATAGGCAGAATCATACTTCCAAGTCCAAAAGGAGGAGAACAAGGATCTGGTCGCGCAGGCGATTGACATTGCCCAAGATCTCCATCAGAAGTACCCAGGCGTAACGCTCGCCGAGCTTCGGGTTGAGATCGCTGTACGTTTCGCATTCTCCGCCGTGCTTCAATTAAGTCTTACCAACTCGTGGAATAGACCGCTCTACTGGCCAAACGAGTCCTCCCGTACATCACCGGCGCCGTCCATGTCATGGTCAACCCATGCCATGCCTTCTCCACTACGAAAGTGATTCAGACGTGTCTGCGTAAGTGCCACCACCTTCCACACGCCCCATAGAATCCACATTGATCGCGCATGAAAAGGATACCACGAGATCTTCCACCACATCGACCCGCATTTCGACCCCTCGCGCCTCGTCATCAAAATCTCCGCGACCTTCGAGGGACTGAAGGCCTGCCATGCGCTGCGGGCAAAGAACATCCAAACCCTCGCCACCACCATCTTCACGATGGAGCAAGCGGTCCTCGCCGGCGAAGCGGGGTGTGTGTCGATCTCGCCGTTTGTGCACGAGCTGAAGGCTGGCTTCGATGATACGTTCGTTCTTTCCAACCCCTCATGTACCCTTGTTGCATTCTTTGTCGATGGTTAGCAGGCACGGGTGACCTGGAGAGATGGGCTAACCAAGCGAGAGCAGATACAAAGATCAAGATCCCCTCCTCGACCTCTGCGTCCAGGCCCAAGAGTACTACGTCCAGCACGGGATCTCCACCCGTGTCAAGGCTTGCAGCTGCATGTCCGTCGAGGAGATCCTGCAGTTGGCTGGGGTGGCGGCCCATACGATCCCGCCGGAGGACCTGGAGAGACTGGCTGGGATGAACGAGGCGGTTGACTCGCTAGAGAAGAAATCCTTGTTTCGGTCGAATGCTTCTGTGGCGTTGCAACAGCAGCTGCCTCGCAGCTATATCGAGAATGAAGCCGGTTATCGGGTGCATTTTGCGGCGAGTGATGGGGGACGAGGCCAGGCTCGGCTGTTCCAGGTTCGTTTCCTACGTGTCGGTGGTTGGCTTTGGTGGTTGACTAATGACACTGTCCAGGCTATTGCAATCTTCGCGGATTTTCAGCATAAGGTGGAGAGAGTCATGGGAGGGCAATAGAAGGTTGGCTGATGGCGATGGTTCGGCTAGATTCAATGGGAAATTCTCGCGGGAATGAACCGTTCTTGGAAATTGTTGAGTTAGGGCTATCTCTGGTAGCATCCAACACCGATATCTAGTGAAAGCTGGATAGCATTCTGCCTTTACAACACATCCCCTGTAAAGTCTACCACGATAACCTGGCCAACTAGAGGATGTAGCTCCCTTCCCAGTCCCAAGTGAACCGGATCGCTGGAGACGTAGTAGTCCCGATCCTCAGGCGACTCGAACTCAGCTACGAACCCGTGGGTAATCCCATGCTGGGCCAGTGTTATCATCTGAGCACTTGACAGCCTCGGACCTAGGGCACTCACTTGCATTCCCTCGGGTGAATGATCCTTGCCACCCCGGAAGGAGACGATGTAGGGCTGTCCGGTCGTGGGGTGAATGCATCGATGCTTCAGGGCGAGAACGTCCTTGCAGGCCTAGACCAGCAGCCAGACTAAGTAATGCTTGACTTCTGCAGGTAGTTATCGTTTGGGTGCAAGTGGGAACCCACCTGATTGACCACCTCTCGTGTCAGGCCAGTCTTGAACTGAAAGAGCACGATGTGAGTGACGACCATGATTGCTTGCCGGGGCAGGCCAACTCTCCAGGAAATCGATAAGCGCTGTATATTCATCACCTTGCTTGCTGAGCCGGCGCGTAAATTTATAGCCCCTGTCCCCTGGTCAATCACGATTATCAATCCGCCGGGCCACGTCAATCCCCCGGATCAACGGACAAGCAAACATCTTCACCACCGTGACGGACATATTTAAAAGCCGCTTGTATCCAGGACAGCTCCAGCCTATCCATCTGAGCCAGTGACTTGATATTAACCAGGTGCACCTCCCCAGCAAACACCCTATCAATCAACCGCCAACCAACCAGACCACTTATCCAACAAACACACAACCCATTGACAAGCAACAATGCCGGAATGGCAAACACAGCACACCACCGCCCCCCTCCCCACCCCCTCCGACCTTTCCTCTTCTTTTTCGCTGCGCGCCCCTCCCGCCACTGACCTGTGGGCCTCGCCCCCGGGCACCTGCATCTTCACCGCCCCGTTCATCTACCAGGCGATGCCCTTGGCCTCCTTCCGAGGGGCCCGCGTCACCATCGCCGCGGGGCTAGCTGAAAAACCCTACGCCCAGGCCGGCCTGGCTCTGCTGCTCCCGCAGTCCGACGGCCAACGCAGATGGGTGAAAACCGGTCTCGAGGTTCTGGAGGGTAGGCGGGTCCTGGCGACGGTGGGGCGGGATCGGTGGCCGGATTGTAGTCTTGTGCCGGCGGATCATGAACTGGGTAGGGTGACGATGGAATTGATACGTCAGGAGAACAATCTTATCGTTAGCCGCGTGAAGCGGACGGAAAATGGGGAGGGTGAGAGGGAGGTTCTCCGTGAGTTGGGGTGGGTGTTTGCTCCGTCAATTGGAGATTTGATTCAGGAGGAGTGCTGGGTTGGGGTCTTTGTTGCGAATCCGTCTGGTGAGGCGGATGCTTTTGATGTGTGGTTTGAAGGGCTGGCTGTGGAGGGAATGGAGGATGGGCTTTGATCTCTAGCCTAGAATTGTTCACATTGGGACGCAGAGGGCTATGCTATTCTATGCTATGGATGCTGTCTAGCTGTCTACGCATGCTGCTACGGCACGTCTTCAATTCCAGCAGCAATGGTCTCCTCCAGACTAATCCAACCCGGCTGGCCGTAGAATTCGCGCAGTAGATCCTCTGCGCGGCGCGAGGGGAGGATCTCACTTGCATCGCGGCCTTCGTTGGCAGGCGGGTCGGGGATTAGGGCATTGTCTGGACGCAGCCGGCGGAGGATGCTGACCACGTCCGTCCAGTTGAACTCCGATGCAAATGCGAAAATGCGTTCTCCTTTCACGGCGGGACTGAGTAGTGCAATGACATGCAGTCGCGCCGTGTCTTCGACGTTGACGTACCATTCTGCTCGTAGAGCCGGTGAGGATGGAGAGTACTGGGGCGAATTGCTTTCGCATCTGGGCCGAAAGACTTACGTGGAGGGAACTCGTCCATGACCGAGCCGTCGCCGCGTAGGAGATTTCTCATACGGATCATACTCGATCCTGCGATTTGAGGGTGCAGGACCCGTCCGAACTACCTGCGGTTAGACTCTGCAAGCGCTGGTGGTTTTGGGTTGTTTACGTTGGAGTTCGGGACGACGGTACTGAACTCGAACCGGGGCTTGCGCTCCCTCACCCATCGCCAGCCCTCACGCTCTTGTTCGGTTTTGGCGGCGGAGTAGATATGATATGCTCTCGTCTCGGGCGGCGTTGATTCATCCCAGGCGGCGTGGACGGAGACCTCGTTCCATGTATCTGTCTCACACTTACATTCAGAAGAACAACTTCACCAGAGAGGCAGGAGACCTACTCTCATCGACTATGGTCTTCTGACCTGGCGTCGGGAGCAGCGCCGCCGTAGATGACGATGTCAGCACGAAGCGCGTCACAGATTGTTGACTGGCGGCGGCTTCCAGGAGGTGAATTGTCGCTCTCTTGACCCATGGGATCACCGCATTGGGGTCAGAATTGAAGGACATGTCGGATGCCTGGATTAGATGTCGTGTCTTAGCACGGTTCTGAGACATGTCGAATGGCTTGACATACGACATGCAGCACTCCAGAAACATTTTGCATCGCACGACGACACATGTCCAGCTCGTCCAGCATCGGAATTATGATGCTCTCAAAGCGCCCTTCCCCGTAACGCTCCGTAAAGTATCTATCCAGCCAGGGCTTTGCCGTGCGAACCGTCCCGCGGACCTTGTAGCCTCGCTGGAGCAGGATGTCGATGGTATGCGACGCGATGTAGCCGTTTGCTCCGGTGACCAGGATCAGGGAGCCTGGGGGGATGACGTAGTCTGTTGAGTGCAGCATGTTTCTTCTTTGTTGTATAGTAGCGAACGCTGGATTTGTGTCGAGGAGAAGTGCTGGATGGGCTGAGTGTATGCAGCTGCTTCTTTATCTACGTCGTCGAACACAGGATCGACTATGTGAGGTCAACTGATCTCAAGCTATTACGATATCATCTCATAGACAAATCACTCTGTGAAGGTGTCTCCACGTGCCACTGACCTGCATTGAAGCCTTACCATCCCCTCCCTCCCAGCCCTAAAAAGAGCGTGGTGACCCGAATGTTTGTGCTGATCAAACATCTGCGATTGACTCCGATCCGCCAGCTGGTCCAACTGTCTGGGCAGGCGCAGCATGTGATGCTCAGCTCCTGGGTGGAAGTGAAATGTGCTATAGCGTAACCCAGAATATATTCACTGAGTCCTCCACACTTGAGCAGCGGTTTCTCTCCGTGACTATCAACCCAACCTCAGTCACCACATCCAGCATGACAGAGATTCCAAGCAGAAGACCCGGGGTCCAGACCGTCTCCAAGGAAACTCCTCTCGAGGAGATCATCGCGATCCTCAAGCGTGATGGCTGCTTGGTTGTGAAGGAGCTCGTTTCCCCCGCAGACGTCGACCAGGTCAACCAGGATGTCCAGGAGAGACTCCACCGCGATCTCGAATGGAACGGCAGCTTTTTTCCGAGTAAGAGTCTCTCCACAGCCTCAAATGAGTTTACCTGCTGACACCGATGGTGGTAGAGGAAACCCGACGGGCCCCCTCGATGATCGCCCTCAGTCCCACTTACACCCGCACCCAGGTGATGAACCCCCTCTTCCAGGCCGTCTGCGCGCACTTCCTCACCACGCGCAGCGTGTTCTGGTGGGGCGACCAGCAGAAGGAGTCCGTGTCCAAGCCGTACGTGACCTCGTGCACGGGGATCGAGGTCGGGCCCGGGGCCCAGGCCCAGCCGCTGCACCGCGACTCGTACATCAACCACAACATCCTGCCGGAGATCGAGGCATGGGACGATGAACGCGACCAGACCCGCGAGACAGCGCTGGGCATGATGGTCGCGGGGTGCAAAGTCACCAAAGAGAATGGGGGGACGCAATTCATCCTGGGGAGTCATTTTTGGTAAGCCTTTCCCGTCTGGCTGGTCGAAAGACAACACGATAAGCAACCGGATTGGTAACTTTTCATTCTCTTGCTTGTGTATGCATAGGGGAACCCACCGCACGACGCCGCCCGATGTGCGGGACTGTGTCGTGGCTGAGCTGGACAAGGGTGATGCTCTGATCATGTTCTCCTCCCTCTACCACGGAGGTGGGGCCAACACCAGCCGCGAAGAACGCCGCATCGCGTACGCCACCTTCGCTGTGCGCGGCTACCTCCGCCAGGAAGAGAATCAGTACCTGGCGGTGCCGCGGGAGGTGGTGCAGCGGTACGACCATGCGACCCAGCGGTTTATCGGGTATTCCATGAGTGATCCGGCCTGTGGGTATGTGGAGGAACTCAGTCCGTTCTATCTGCTTCATCCGGAGTTGTTGCAGGATGCTAGACCACAGGACTTTTGAGGGGTGCGATGGGTGTGTGTTGGCTGGGTTCGGCATTGTATGGACTTCAGAAGGGCCCCAGGGCAGGGGAGACAGAAACAGGACCAAGGCTTCTGACAAGAACTTCAGGAGAATAGGTGGTTGGCCCACCCAGGAGTATGATTTGAGCCCCGTCCCCTGCCCTCGCCGCGTCGGACTTAGGGCTTGAGATAAGAAGCGGGGAACGGGGTCCTTGCTACCGTCACGATGAATAGATCTTTGTTCTCAGGCACCTGGGACTTTATCTGAGCTCTCTTCATGGTGACCTTCGGTATATCCATAAAGAACCAGTCTTGTTTCTTCCAGCCTTGTCTGCGATGCTCTGGAAAGATAGTTTAGCTGTTGCAATGGGTAACAAGGCATAGTGTAGGTTGATTGTGTGATGCCGCAGCCTACCTTTCTATCCTCACCCGGGACCAACCGATCCTGCAATTCAATCTCTTTCAGTAGGAGTGTGAGAGGCTTGCGTAGAACAGACGGGTCTCAATGCACAAAGAGTCACTAAGAAAGGACAGTAGGGATTCATCATCACAGGCAAGGTGTATCTTTGTGTCAAGCAAAGGCCATTGAGCAGACCCCGTCCCCCTTTCTTCCGATTCATCCACACCAGAGTCAAAGATTATCCCAAATTTTAAAACGTGCTCATGAATATAAATACCCGCTGCAGAGCCCACTTCATCCCATCCAATCCATCAACCCACACACACAATCACCAACCGCAACCATCGTGATCGTTCTGCTATTCCAAGCTCTCTACCGGTTGTCACGCAACCGCAACCGCAACCGCAACAGCAACATGGCCAAACCTTACGAGACGGGCGCCGGGGTCTATTTCTGGGGCCCCTATGATGGTTGGATGCAAGAGCAATGCCCCATCAAGCCCAATGCCGAGCACAAGAAGGTGCGCAGCATGGCGGCGGCGGCCTCTACCTCCATGCTTGAAGGGTCGTGGGGCAAGAAGAAACAAGAGGAGGAGGAGGAGGAGGAGGAGGAGGAGAAGGGGAAGCCACCTTTTGTATATCACGGGCAAGAAGTGAGCTTGGCCTTCATTTCCGAGATCGTGAACTTGCTGGAGAAGAATAATATCTCCCTTCATGTGATTAACGATGCCATGTGGCGGTTCTACGGCTGCCAGAATCGCATCAACACCATTGACCTGGTCATCCCCGCGGCTTACCTTGAGGATGCTGTCAAGGTCTTGCGCGCAGCCAAATTCGACGATGACCATCCCCGATGCATCGGTCACTTGGAGGTGACGATGAAAGAGACCAACGAGCACGACCGCAGCGGCAAATGCAGGACTCAAGAAACGCCTTTCATCGGGGCCCCCTGCCCCTACCTGTGGAATTTGCGAGCGCGGTGGCTCGACGCCTGGTGGGTGCCAGACCATGTCTTCCACTTGCAGCCGGCCCCCGGACAAGAGCGCCACGTCGATCTCAACCTGTTCTGCCACGAGGAGTACTTCTTCCATCTCCCGTTGCCGGGTTCGACCCGGGGGAGCTACTACGAGCAGGCGCAAACACCCATCTACCTCGACTCGACCGACGTCGCCCTTGAACGGGAGGTGGAAGAACCCTATGCGGTCAAGCTCCTGTACCCCGCGCGCATGGTGGAGGCTCTGGTCCGGCTCAGCTTCCAGGATCGGTACTTGTACAGCCACCTATCACAGCGTTTGTCGGAAGGGCATGGGTGGACCGAGTGGGATCGCACCCTCCTCGATATCTTCTGCTCCATCACGGGCCGCACCGGGGAGGAGGAAGCCCGCCGACAGGTAAGAGCTCCTTGGCCCCGACTCATGGTCAACAAGGCCTTGGTCGAGGTGGATGATGACCACCTCGAGGAGGCGCTGCTCACCCTGAAGGGGCTGAAGCCCCACTGGTTCCGACTGGAGGACTTTCACCCCCTTTTCCAGGATTACCTGCAAGCCCTATTTCTCGCGAGAGGAAACGGCGGACCATGTAAGCCCTCGCCCCCCCAGCTGGAGCAGGGGCAAGATCAAGAGCAACCCAGCCCGTATCCTCGCGAATGGCTCGAGCACTGTCCCATTCGTGAGGATTTCCAGCACTGCACTGCCTTTCCGGTGTTGAATGACTTTGCATGGCGCTTCAAAGAGGCCGGATTCTTCCCCAGGGCCTCTCCTTTCTACCGCGAGAAGACGACCCGGGCCATCAGGGCGCTCAACCACCCACAACCCCCCATCTCTCCGGACGAGGGTTTTTTCCAGCGTCCCGGATGGTGGCAGCATGACGAACACATAAGTGTCGAAAGGCAAAGGCATGCAAAGCAGCATGCGCGGACCGATCCATGGTCCCGACACTACCGTCCTTGGCCTTAGTCGGCTCGCGAGCTCCTCCCCTGCCCTAGTCTAGTCTTTTCTTATATCACCCAGCAACTCGTCAGTCGAGTTGTTGATTTCATAATCTACAGTACAGCCTATGATTTCACTTGCCGGTGCCGATAATCCCCAAGGATGAGTGTAGTGTTTGTGTCGGAACGAACAGAACACGAGATTGATTGAAAAGAATCAAGTCCCTTAATCCCGAAATCCACAATCTTCCAGCTCAGCACGCCTTGTACGGTTCAAATAGCCATCCGAAAAATAAACAGATAGACACACAGACAAACAGACAGCCAGCCCCAAAGAAAACCAGAAAGGAAACCAGAAGGTAATACCCTCAAGCAAAGACAGTGTTCCATAGCCAACTAACACACGCCCAGAGCAGGACAGTCGCAACACCAGAACCAATAAGGACATAATCCCCCTCAACAGCATCACCCCTTCCTTCAATCCGGTATTCCCGAGCGAGCCCCTCCATTTCATCCCGAGTCAATCCGGCGTCACTGTACGGTTCCCTGGGATTGATCTGCGGCATACGGGTCATGTTGCTCACAGATGGTCGGGGATCGAGTTGATCGATAGGGACCATGACGATGGGTATCGGATCACCGAAAAACCTGGCTTGCAACTGCCCATCCACGCTGCTATAGTTGGATTTACTCTCGAAGGCGTCGCGCAGGGCAAGCACGTTTTCCCAGGTGTCGATCATGACGACAAATTCCCTCTGCGACATGCCGGTCTCCTAGTTAGCCATTGCTGGGAGGCGAAAGGTCATCGGGACGACCGGGGACTTGGAAGGAACTCTCCCGAACGCGATTCGGGGCATGTGGGTTTGCCAGACTCTCCACTGCCAGTTCTCCGATCACCACTAGCTCCGTGCTCCTGAGTTGGTGGGAATTCCCGCTCAGTGCCACGATTGTGCCCAACATGTTTCCAAGAAAGAGGTTCATGTGAACTACGTACGAGCCTTCGGCCGCCATTTCGTGGTTCCGAGTCTTGAAAGACGAGCAAAAACTGGTAGGAAAGAGCTTGGAAACCGAGGACAGAATGCACGAAAAAGGGATAATGAGATAGGTCGACGACGATGCTGGGGATAGAGATGCTCGTGGGCACGCTGGCGGCCTTTTCAACCCCAGCGACTTCCCTTCTGTCAACGGCAGTTTCTGACAAGAACGAGAAATTCAAGTACCGACGTCTCACAGCCATTTTCCATCTTCGCGAATTGTGGGATGGGAAATGGCATTCGCTGCCCACCTCAAGATGACTCTCCGAGACATTCCAGGATGCCACCGCGAGCGATTCGCCTGGCTCACGAACAACGCACATCGAGCCGTTTGCCTACCCCGCTTCCCTATTCACCGCAAAAGTCAAGACTTGTGCTTCTGAAATGATGACTGCATTGTGAGCTCGTGCGAAAAGCCATTTCTCAGTCCAAGGTGCCACCAGCTGGAGACGAGGAGGTCGAGAAGAGAGCAGCGCGCGGTCGAAAGCTGGAGCACAGTGTGCCAGCCAGCCCTCTCTCCTGGCGTCTCCATCCAAGGTCTACCGACCGACCGACCGATGTCTTTTCTTTCTGGAGGCGAGCTTGAGGATTGATGGTCAAGATGAAGTTGAAACCAAGCATTTGCACTAGAATGTGCACGAGATCACTCATCAAACTCAGTCTAGTGTGGATCTCATATCCGCGATCTGTGTGCATCCGGTCGGGGGGGGCGTGGTGGGAATCGTGGAAACCAGAGATCGCTCACGTTGCGGGGTAAGGGGCGACGCAGCGTATCGACTGGACGTGAATGACCGGGGTGGCACACATTTGCACATGAGCCCATACATGGATCTCGAATGAGGGTCACACCGCAATTTCCCCCACACACAGCCAATCTGAAGGCATATCTGCTGAGCTGGGTCGGTTGTGTCACAATGGTCGTCAGCAAAACGGGCGTCAATGACAGCGATGACGATGACAACGACGTTTGATGTGCGGAAGACGGATGACCGGAAAGCCTTTCCCCGCCAATGCAGCCAAACTTGTACGCGATCCAGTCGCTTGAATTAGCTAGGTGCTTGTGATGCGTACTGCCTCTGATGCCTGGGGAGCGACACGGATTTGTTGGGCCGTAAGGATGGATTTCCAGGACCCTGGCAAGGATCACCTGGATTGATGAGTGGTCTGGACCTCCAGTCAATCAGTCATGCCCAGCGAGAGCGAGTAGGGATCGTGGCTCGCAACCAAGGAAGCGCATTTGTTTGTTTACAATCGGGCCCGCGGCCACGTCAATGGGCGGGATCGAAATCATGGTCGGACGTTGTACCCGCCTGAAGGGACCGGAGAGACCGTCCCAACAGGTTCATCAGTGTCTCCATTCTTTCGATGATTGGCAGTGCACTGGGGTAGAGGTAGAGGAGGTGAATCTCCAGTAGAGTGTGAGGGTGTAGCGAGGTGAGTTTGGCCTGGCCATGGACGCAGGATCGTTGGATGGGACCGGTATTTCGATGGGGTCGCACGTTTCTGGCCTGATCAGGTCAATTCGCTGGATGGATTTCTCGGTCTGTGGGGTTTGGATTTCGAAGGCGTTTGAGCTTGTTGTATAGTACATGCTGTCGATGTTTGTCAACATGGCGGAACAATAGAGACTTGGGGGATGGCCTGATCAAGAATGGCAGAATCTTCACTCACTAGGAAAGTCACCGCAGCTTGAGAAGAAGAACGAACGGGGTAATCGACCGCCGTATATTCGGTCTGGTTTGGAGCAGAGCATGATGTGTGGTTCCTGTACCTCGGAGGTGTACCTCGTAGGTGTCTCCGTACCAACTCGGTAGTCCGCGAGCGAGCGAAAGGGACATTGGAGCGCTACGCCACCGCTGAGTCAGCGGGAATGACTGAGCCACAGGCTCCGAGCTCAGCCACGGGCTCCCTTCATCTTCATACCTGTACTACGGACCTGAGCAGCGCGAGAAATGAGAGATAAGAAATGAGAACTAAGGTATCATCGAGCAACAGGACGACACCCGGATCTTATACTCTGACCTTCGTGCCTTGTGTATAGTTAAGCTATAAGCTATACTGTGTAAGCTATAGGCTAATAGCCAGGCTAAGATATGCTACAGTAGTATCAATCATCAATCGGGTGACTAAGTCCGGCCCGGGCGGTAAGTAACTGCCTATTACTACCTAGTTAGTACTACCTAGTAAGCTGAACTTCCCCCGGTCGGCATCATCATCATCATCATCTTCTTCTTCTTCTTCTTCTTCTTCTTCATCTTCTGCCCCTTTCTCACTCCTCGAAACTATGGATACCACTACCCCACTCATCGGGGGCTGCTTATGCCAAAAGATCACCTATCGCGTGGATCTCCCCCCCACCGAACCCGTCCCCAAGGTACGGTAGTAGTGTCCAGTCACTTCCCCCCCCTGCCCCCCCTCCCAGCTTCCACTCCATGAGTCTCCCTCTAATCCTTCTTTCCCCAACCTTCTAGATCATCCTCTGCCACTGCACCAGCTGCAAGCGCTACACCGGCTCCGCCTTCTCCTCCAACCTCGTCGTCCCCACGGCTGCCCTGATCTTCACCACCGGCACCCCCAAGCTGTATCTCGGCCACAGCGACCGTGGCCCCCCCGTGCGCCGGCAATTCTGCGCGGACTGCGGTACCCCCTTCACCTCGCAGCCGGGCGACAACGACGAGATCATCATCCTCAAGACGGGGACGTTGGACGAGGCCAGTCGCCTGCGCTGTGGGGAGGTGGGCCTGGCGATTTGGGGTCGGAGTAAGGATACGTGGCTGGATCAGATTGGCCAGGTGCGGTGCTTGGAGACGAGTATGGGGTAGAGATCTCCTGGAGTAGAATGCACATAGGGTGGACATGAGACGGGTGTATAGAACCAGTAGAGTCTAGCAGGAAGTGTGATACGGAGACTGTGATAGGGGATGGGCGTAGTCGGCCTCCACCATAGGTAGTGTCCCGCATGCAACAGTGCCGTCCTGGTGCGTAGTAAGTCTTATTATGATTGTTATTATTCGCCAAATCGCTCTCTACACGTCGTACAGTCCGCAGTCCTCTCGCCCCGTCCCCTACAGTCGCACCGACTTCTCCTGCGCGCGCTCCAGCACCCACCCCGCCAGATCATCCGCATACCTCTGCCGGTTCTCCGGCAGATCCGCATGCAGGATATGGCTCCAGCCCTCGTAGGACACAAACTTCTTCTGGGTGGCCGGCACCCGCGCCGTCTGCTGGTCGAACCAGCGCTTGCTGAGGTCGTGGCTGGTGCATTGATCGCCGGTGCCGTGAACGACCAGCACCGACTGCACCCCGGGGGAGAGCACCAGCGTGCCCGCGGTGAGGGCGGCGGCGCGGTCGAGCATGTTGGCAAACATCTCCAGCGTGCCCGTCAGGTGGTTGAGCGGGTCGTTCTTCACCTGCGCCTGCACGGCCGGGTCGCGCACCAGATTCTCGATCGCCATCTTCTGCGTCAGCTGGAAGTGGGGGAGGAGACGGCCGGCCAGCCGGCCGGTGAAGACGAGGAGGGAGCTGGGCGTCTGCTCCGGCGTCAGGCCGATGTACGGCGCCTCGAGCATGATGCCCCGCAGCGAGGCCACCAGCGGTTGGTATTGTGGGGTGGAGGCGAGGGTCGCCACGAGCCCTCCCCCCATGGAATGGCCGCTGATGAAGACGGGGATGTCGGTCGGGGCGACCTGCTGCTGCTGGGCTGTGATGAAGGCGGCCATGTCGGCGAGGATGGCCGGTGTCGGCCCCGTGTTGCCGCGGTCGGCTTTGCGGTGCACCGATCGGCCCCAGCCCCGTTGGTCGATCCCCGCGCAATGAATGCCGTGGCGCGCCAGGGCGGGGAAGAGGTCGAAGTAGTTGTTGATGTGGTCGCTGAAGCCATGGAAATGGACGAGTTTGGCGAGGGGAGGGGTGGTGGTGGGCTGTGTGAATGAGTAAGGTGTTCTGCATGTAACTCCATATATATACTGGTCTATACTGTGTATATACTGCAGTACAGAGATGGGGCAGAACTCACCGACCAGGTCTTTTGGTAGACCTCCGCTCCATCCGGCAGACGAAAGGTCCCCTCGGTGATGGTGACGTCGGCCATGATCTATCGCTAATCTAGATCTAGATCGATCACAGATTGGTCGGGTAATTTGACCAGATAGCGATCAACGTTGGGAATTTCCCCACAAGGCGGATTGTGGTTGGAATGTGGAATGAATGTGGGGGGAAGCGAGAGTTAAGCATAGGGAAAGAGAGAAAAAGAGAAAGAGAAAGCGAGGAGCGGAGCAACTTTTAGTTACTGCCAACTGGACTCGTCCACTTGGCCAGTCTATGTGTCCAGTTGCCAACCGGCGGGCTTCTCCCTCGGCTGCGATGCATGCATCCATCACATGGCCGGTACGGAGTACAATACACGGAGTACCTACTCGTACCTACTATGTACAGTACTGTACCTGTCCCTGAGGTACGGGGCGCTAAGTTACCTGTGCTTATTGTGCGGTTCAACAGCAGTACGTCTCAAGATTGGTAGTCTGCTGACTTGTGAAATATACATACGGAGTGCAGTACCTATAGTATAATTCCAGAGAACGGGTTATGTAAGCTATAAGTGCACAGTTGAGTCACGTGTTGGGATCCAGCCCTGCTCGGCCAGGATATATACTCCGTGCTATACAAAGGGATCATCTACAGAGTAACTTACACGTACGGTCAGCTAACTACCTAAGTTATTCTATAAACTCAACTAGAAGATGGACCAAACTGACTACCACCCTAGAGCCAGCTCTACTCATCGCCAAGTGAGGGGTTGCATGAAACCTCTAAGCGAATCTGACAGGTCCATTCCCACCTTCGGCCACGCGACTCAATCCAGCATTTTGTACTCCGTACCGAGTCCCGAGTCAGACAGCCGACGATGCAAGGGTCGCCATCCCCTATATTGTGCCTGGTTCTCAGGTTGCTCAACCCATTATCCCATTGCGGCTATACGCAACCTTAATCCGACGTTTATCCTCCACTCCCACCCAGTTATTCTTGACACCACCACGGATATGATCTATCACCTCGTCATGTCCCTGTCGATCGCGATACATCGCAAGCCCCTATCCCCCCACTCCCTGGTCTTCTCCCCGAAACAGCCTCTGCAGAAATATTCATCAGGTCGCCCGTCCGCTGCGACCATGGCCATGATTCCAAATCTCGTCCGCCACCCATCACGTCTGCAGCCCATCACCTGCAGCCGCCATCGCCGATACGATCTGTATCGCATCGCCTCTCAACATGTCATCCGCACCCACGGAGGGTGATTTCGACCATCCTAACCAGCAGCTCCGACGATCGGTCATCATTGCCTTGCCGTTTGCCTTCGCTCTCTCGACCATTGCGGTGCTGCTGCGCTTGGTGGCGCGCAGAGTCAACGGCACGCGCCTGTACCTGGACGACTATCTGATTATCGTTGCGCTGGTATGCACTCGCCTCTCCTCTCTCAAACCAGACCACCGATTAACCCGTGGTCTAGATCTTCAAATATGGCTGTTCAATCGGGGTCGTCATTCGTAGGTCTACATGGCCCAGCTGATCGCTGCTTCTAACCCTTCTCCTGGCAAGCAGTCCTCTGGAACGGTCTGGGATCCCACATCACCATGATCCCGCAGAAGAACCTGGACGTCTACTTCCAGGTCAGCCCCCACTCCCCCCTCGCCTCATCCTGCCTCTCCCCCACCTCGATCTGACCCAGACAGATCGGCTGGTCCAACGGTTTTGTCTACCCGCTGTGCATCGCGTTCATCAAACTCTCCATCCTGGCCTCGTACAAACGCCTCTTCGCGGCGCGGGGCATGTCCCTGGCCGTGACCCTCGTGGCCGTCGCTGTCATTTGCTGGGTGGTGGGCGTCAGCATCGCGGGAGTGCTGTCCTGCGTCCCCGTGGCCAAGTTCTGGCACCGCGAGATCCCCGGCCGCTGCATCGACCCGGCGACCTTCTACTACGGCCAGCAGATCCCCAACATCGTCACGGACGTGGTGCTGCTGGTGATGCCGCTGAAGAGTGTCTGGGCGCTGCCGATCGCCAAGACGCAGCGCGCGTTGCTGTCGGGGGTGTTCTTGGTGGGGGTGTTGTATGTGCTCCCTTGATTCCCGGCGGATATTTGGTGTGTGCTAAACGGTTCTGGTGCAGAACGCTAGTCTTCGATATCGTGCGCTTGGTCGCGATGATTCATATCACCGAGATTGGACCGGATATCACCTGTAGGTGACTCTTATTATACATGAGTGAGAGGGTGTGGTGTGGTGGCTAACCTGTCTCGATGCGAGCAGACAACCAAGCCCCCGTGGCGGTGTGGACGTGCACGGAAGCCGCGGTGGGTATCATCGCCGCCTGTCTCTCGCATCTGCGGCCCTTGTTCCACCTCAGGGCCAGCAGCAGCCGGCTCTGGCGCCAGCCCAGTCCCGAGATGCGCAGGCGCGAGCTGAATCCCCCGCCCGAGGAGGGGTTCTCGACCGATGACACCTTGTTTGACCCGTGGGGCACACAGCATAGTGGGTTTACGGGGCATAGTGTTTGTGTGGAGTCGGGAAAGTAGCCTGCTCGAGGGGGGAGTGGAGGATAGTCGTCAGGGGGGGAGGGGGGTTGGGGTCTGTTGGTGAGATTTACTGTCGATGTATATACTACCCTTCGTGACTCTCATTCATACGATCTTTAGCACTTTCACACGTACACGCTCCCTATCTCGAACGCTGCACTTTCTACCCTCATACCCCGACTGCACCAACACAGTCCTATCTCAATCATCAGCCCTTACCCGAATCACCCCCTCCGCAAACCGCGTCAACCGCTCCCACCCATCCCCCGTAACAAGAAACGTATCCGACCCCTGGACACACGCACCCCCCACCCCAGGGACAAGAAGATTCACCTCCAGCGCAAGCACCATCCCCGCCTGCAACATCCGCTCCTCCGTCTCCTCGAGGAAAAACAGCTCATGCGGCCCCAGCCCTACGGAATGCCCAATCCGCCCTGGGAGATACGCCCTGTACCCTCGCCGCTCATACCCGCGTTGCGCAGTGCGGTACAACTCCCGCACCGCCGTGCCGGGGCACACGCGCTGCAGAACCTCCATCCGGATCTCCGAAGCAGCCTGCATCGCCCGCTGTTGCGCGCGATTCACATCCCCGACCCAAGCCGTCCGCTCCAGCTCCGCGTGCATGCCGTTGGCCACCGTCCACACGAACACGGAGACGCTCTCTCCGGGCACCGGGACCCGGGGCGTCGGATTATCGCATCCGAACGACTGCCGCGGACCCGAGAGCACCCACGCCGCCAACCCGCTGTTGACCCCGCCCTCCAAGGACCCGAAGTCACAGATCTCGATATCAGGGTACTGTGCTGCCCAGTGTGTGTGCATGGTCTGCAGTGCGGCGAGGACGGCGTCCCGTTCGGTGGTGGAAGGCTGCGCGAGGGCGGCGACGGCGGCTTCCATGCCGTGGTCTGCGAGGGTGGCTGCGATGCGCGTGTGGGCGATCTCGTCGGGGTCTTTGACGGCCCTGCAGGCGTGGAGGAGGGGGGTGCAGTTGGCGAGGTTGGCGGTCGGGAGGGTGTGGCGGAGCAGGGTGTACTGGGTCATGGGGAGGCCGTCGTGCTCGATGCCGATGGTCGGGTGCTCGGGGAGGTCACAGCGGTCCAGGAGGGTGGCCAGCGCCGCGGGCCAGGTTAGCGCCAGGGTCGGAGTTTGCCCCCAGGTTCCGTACAGGTGGATGTTGGGCGTCCACGCGCTGGACCTGGCGTGCGAGTTGCGGAGGGCGTGCACCAGGAGGATTGGGGCGGATTGCTGGGAGACGATGACGAGGACAGGGTCGGAGTAGATGATCGGGTTGAAGCCAGAGAGGTAGAAGGTGGAGGTGGGTTGCGTGCAGATGATGGCGTCGAGGCTGTGGGCTGTCATTTGTGATTGGAGGCGCTGCACGCGGGGTGGTTGAGAGGCCATGATAAGTAGTAGGGGAATGGGGATATGGGGATATATTCGGGCTTAGGGCTGTCGTACGGTACAGATGGGTCACGGTGGTTGCCGGTGGAACCTATATGTCTCTCGTTCACATCGCTGAAGATGTGTGCGTGCCTCGTCTTCTCTAGACGAGGCAACATCTCAAACATGTTGAAGGACTAGGTGTATTTACCAACTTCCCGAAAACGCGAGTCAAAGTAGTGAGAGACGGTGGCGTGTTGTGGTCCCGAGTTCATATTTGGTGGGGAGGGGGATAGCATAGCATGAGGTCGACGGATGATTAGCTGTGGTTCATAAAGACAACAATTTGCCCCCAACAACAAGCAGTCTCCATGGTGTAGTGGTTATCACGTGGGTCTCATATGCAAATATGACTTGGAAGTCGCACTTCCAGGACATCCCAAGGCCGGGAGTTCGATCCTCCCTGGGGACATGTCTTTTTGTCTTCCGTCCCAGTTGACATGCCACTATTCCCACATCCGCATCACCACATCGTCCTATCCTGAATCAATCCCACCCCTGCTCCCGATGATGACGATTTATTTTTCTCTACTTACCGACAGAAAGACCCCAACCCCCCGACACATACTGACCAAGAACTTGGGCACTATTGAAGCTTGTTTGAGCCCATGTCTCAAATGCCCCTGAGTTGTCACCAGGCATTGACTGGTCGAGTCCTGTGCACTTGAACCATCTGCAACCCACCACTGCAGAGGGTTCTTTTCAGTGGTCTGACCCCAGGCTGGCCTCTTCAACCACCGTATCGCGCTGTATACAACAACACCGTCACAGTTCTTCAAAAGATAAGCAAGGACGAAGGAATCTGAACGGCGGAAAAAACGGGTGGTATTAGGCGAGGTCTGCCGTCTGCTCTTCACCCTTACCCCTCCCTCCAATGCAGTCTTGCAGTACATGTGGCACACTCGAAGTAAGACAATCGCAAGCATACATTATTCGACCGTCAGCATCAGACCATCCTGAACTCGGCGATCTCCGACGGAGGAATTGACCCCCGGTCGTACATTTGAAGCCTCATTTGTCGCAGCTGGCGACAACCAAGCCCGAGCAAATATCCATGAAGACACTCTGATCACATTAGACTTTTCAACGGGGCAGAAAGACTGCGTCGAGGTCCGTGCCCTAAGGGTGCAGGAATCCAAGACATCAAATTAGGGCTCCCGGTCAAGGCCTAGACCGGTCAACTGGCAGCAGCGTGAAATAGGAACAGTACAGGACACGGGGAAATTAGCATCACCTTGACCCCCTTTGTAAGATAGCCGGTGGAAAGGAGGAGATATGACTCTATTCTTTCAGGGCTGACTGAAACTCAGCGTGTATTTATATAGAGCCAATGGTCGTGGGGGATGCAGTATTGATCAGGTCCCATATCGAAGCCCTGCTCCTCAGCTCCTCTCCTATAGCTCTTCAAACGCGCTCCTCGAACAGATTACCATGTCCACTACCCACTTTCTATACTTCCACTGCCCAGAGGCGGGACTTGCCTTTCGCGCGAAGCTCCTCACCGAAGAGAACCCGGACGTGGCCTCGCAACTGATCACCCAACTGCCCCTGCAGAGCACTCTGGGCCACGTCGTGATCTCCGGCGAAGCCTTCTGGCTGCCGACGCGCATCGTGCATCTGGGCCGTGACCATATGGTTCAGAGACACCCGGGGGCCGTCTATCTCAACGCCGTCGGGGGCTCGTTGTGCCTGACCTACGGGAGTGTCACCGAGAGCGCGCCAGTGAACAAAGTGGCCGACGTCGAGGAGGCAGACCGGCACACCCTTAGCCAGCTGGGCCGTTTGGTGTATGAGAAGACCGTCAGCAGCGCGCGACACACCCTGCTCACCATTCACATTGCTCTCCATGCACCCACCCCGAGCAGATACAACCTCAAGCTCACTGCCGAAAACCACTACCACCACCATGGACATGAATACTCCCGCCCACTCGACAAGCCCCTTCCGACCACCTCCAAGTCCCAAACATGGCACTCAGCCCACACCACCATCACAACCCAAACGAACACCATCTGGCTCCACCTCCCCGCCAGCATCCAGAAAATCACATGGGGCATCATCCCCAGCGGCGCGGGCACCGGCAACCAGTACTTCTCCGTCCTCGTGCATCTCAAATCCTTCCTCCTGCACCTGGGCTGCGACGTGCTCTACCGCCTGCTCAAGATCTCGCGGTACCCCGACACCCCCCTCGGCGTGCTGCAGCGCATGACCCGCGAGTTTTTGTCGGCGAATTTCAATACCTTCGAGATGCTGGGGGATCTTGGGCTGGACGAGATGGGGGTCATTGGGGAGGTGTATCTGCGGGGGATTGGGGCGGTGGCCTGCAAAGAGGAGTATCGGGTGTTGACCGGGGCGTTGTTCACGTTCGTCTGCCGCATGCATCGCTGGGTGCATTTTGTTTTCCCGTGGAATTTGGGGGTGGCGTTTCCGCACCGCCGCGTGGAGGAGATTTTGGGGATTGCGGAGGTGGTTGCAGGTGGGAGTCTTGAGGTCGGGATGGAGGATGTGGAGTGTGGCGAGGAGTCGGAGGTGGAGGTCGAGGTAGGGGAAGGAGTGGGTGGGAGGTTCAATCCGATGGAGGTGAAGGGTGTGGTTGAGAGGGTGGAGGAGGCGCCGGTTTGATATATCGTGTCAATGCAGGGATGAAAGGCTACAGCTATGGTTCGCGGGTGCGCTACTTGTTTTTTCACATTATCAGATTGTTCTGTTGCTGTATTTGTTGTATAAATGGTTATCTTATCTTATTTTAATATTTGGTTCTAGGTATGGACGCATCATCCAGTACTTCTTGTTGCGTAGCTGAAGAAGCACAGTGAGAATGGAAATGTAACCCGCTCTGGTCTTCAATGCAGATGACGGATCAAGGTGGTCCTGATACCTCACGCCGCATAAATCAGGCTTCAGATCTGACTATCAAGTGATGCTTACCGGTGCTGCACTGTACACCTGTGAAAACCCACACCCCGTCGAAGCTGTATCGCCACCTAATGTAAACCTAATCATTTATACAACACTCCTAATGCTCACACAGCGAGAACGAGCCCGTCTCAAACGCCCCATTCTGCTTATCCTGAAACGTACTCCGCTCCTCCATCAACTCCAACCGATACGCCTTCGCCTCCTCCATGGTCATCGACCCCTGTGCCAACGCCCCCTGGTCACCCGCCCACTCCGCCTGTTGCGGCGGCACATTAGCCGTGGAGATCACCCGACGGTGCGGGTCGATCAGGAACAGCGCCAGGATCTTGCGGTGGCCCGGCTTCGTGGGGTCCGCCAGCGCGAACGGGGCCACGCGGTGCTGCACGGTGTTCGGGAAAGTGACCAGGCGCCCCTCGTTGCAGACCACGCTGCCCAGGTCCTGCGTGAAGTGCTCGCTGTCGTTGTGGCCGTCGACGTCCGAGCCGAACCCGTACACCGCGTGGATGAATTCGTGCCGGTCCTGCTCGTAGCCCATATCGTAGATTGTTTGGGCCCGATGGCGGAAGGCGAGGCGGCTTTCCGTGATGTTCGCGCTGTCGTAGTAGTAGATCGCCGTGGCGCAGATGCGTTCATTCTACACCATGGAAGTGAGCTTTAGCATTACGTGATACGGAAGCGAGAAGGGGGGAGGGGACGTACCAGCTGCCCTTCAATGTGCCAGGACCCTCCTTCGTAGGTCGGCTTCTCGGGCGTCAGTTCGATGTTGGCCAGCTTGACGATCACCTGCAGTCCTGTCTCGCGGAACTTCTCGCGCAGATCCATCGGCCCCTCGTAGGAGACCTTAGGAGGCACGAAGGTGGGTCGAGGCTCGGGGAGCTTCATGGGACGCGCCTTCCACCATGCATCCGAGCGCTGCTGATAGTCGTCCTCATAGCCCTCCTCGTCTTCCCTCTCGCTCTCCCATTTCGGCTCCGGGGTCGAGCGGTCCAGGTACTCCACGCGGTCGTAGAGGATGCGGGCATTCTCGTGCTGCCGGGTTCGGGTCAAGCTTTTGTTCCACTGCGGGATGGCACGGGCGATGACGTTCTCGACGACCGCGTACAGGTTCTGATGGCGCTGCGGGTGGAGGTTGTTGATGTACGAGACGATGCGGCAGTCGTCGTTGTCAGAAAACTCCACGTCGCACGGAAGCCATTGGAACCGCTGGCTGTAGACCTTGTAGCCCGATGACCGCCAGCGCCAGTGCGAATCGTGGCCCTGGCCTTTGGATCCCTCGTCCGAGGGCACGGGCAGCACATCCCCTCGGCCGAGGTGCTCGAGGCAGTTGGCGACGGTCATGGTGCGGTCCGGCAGGATGCGCGTGCGGCCGTAGACGAGTGGAAATAGCGAGGGATGCACTAAATCGAGGACCTTGTTGTCTGAGCCTGGATGGTAGTCTTTGGCATCCTCGGGGATGTCTTCTAATGGGGCTACGACGTCCCGCAGTGCCTGCTGAAGATCCTTGGGGATGGCTGTGTCCGACCGGACGACCCCTACGTGATCGAAAACGACGAACGTCCCCTCCTCCTGCAGGACCTTCGCTTTCCACCTCATCTCGGCAATGATCGCGTCGATCATGGTGGGGGTAACGTCTTGCCCGGACTCGGCGATCTCCTGGCGCCACTTGGCCGTGATTTCCTCGTCGAATACCTGAGCGGGGGTTAGTTTGCGTTTCTCTCGGAGTGGCTGGTGATTTACCTTGCGGTCCCAGTCGGGCTTCTCGGAGATGGTGTTCATGATTTGCAGCATGAGGATCTCGCGGTGGACGAGGAGATTGCTGAGCGGATTGTTAGTCGGCGACGGCTACATTTGTAGTGGTACTTGGGTTGTAGATGCCTACCCGATGTAGCCGTCATAGATATCTTTGCTATCGAGTGCATTGGGCAGTGTCACCCTTTTCAAGGAATATTTAACCTGGGTTTATTAGCTTGGGAGTTGGAACATGATCAGGTGCTGGGTGAGGCACAATACCGGAACTGGGTGGTTCAATGGGAGGCCGTAGCCTGGGAGCTCGATCCGTGCAGGTGAAGTGGTCATGGCTGCTGCAATGCTGGTAAAAAAACGAGTGTACATGTGATGGAGTTGTGGTCGTAAGGATTTACTGCTCAAGAGCCATCGAGCTGGTCGTTGCATGTTTTTATCAGTAGAAGGTCGAAGTCCTGAGGCAGGAACCGGTGTTCGGTGGGGGGTTGCTGCCTTGACGCCTTGACCCCTTTTTGTGGTGGAGCTCTCTGCCTGCCAGGCACCCTCAGGCACCTCCAGGCACCTCCAGGCACCTCCAGGCACCTC